AAATGGTGCATTTAAGGTTTCCTCAAGATTGCACTTTCTGAAAACTATGAAAAACTCATGTATACTGACACTTCTGGTCGATTCTTTTAGACAGTTTGATAAAAATCAATCTCTCGTCAATTATTCTTGCTTTTTGAAGTACATATAACCGTCGGATTTAAATCCGAGGTTTACACATTTATTTTACAAAGAGATTGATTAATTTCATAATGACTCACTGTTGTCCCAAATCTTGTTTAATGCTAGGATGTAGAACAAAGTGTGACCTTTCACGCAAGATAGGTGGGTAATAAATTCAGATTTTTTCTTGAAAGAAAATCGACGTGTCGACGAAAAATTGATTTTACTATCAATTCCACTGAACGAAAACTTTGTTCGAGAGAGCTGAAATTTATAGGGTAGTTGGATAGTATTAAGATGTGCTTATATACAAAATTTTAGGCTCAAACCATTTTCCAATCAGCAGGTATCAATCACGAAAGTTGGTCAAAAATCGATTTCCGCCCAATAGTGAAATCCATAGAGCAGTCATGATTCAACGGTTGAAGCTGAAATTGGTTTTTCAAAAGTGGAACTGTGTGAGTTATGGATGCAGAGAAAATCTCGGCGAAAACGATCGATGTTTTACTGAGAAATTAGGGTCTTCAAAATCGACTGTCATATAGTGAGCATTCATATTGCTCTCAGTGAAACTGCGCAGAGTTGCAACCGGTAATTGTAAACGGCCGGCCCGGCCCGGTTCGGTCTAGGATTCCTTACCGTCAGGCATACCGACCGGTACAAGCGACGTTTTTCAGACCGGTCCGGTGTAGATTTTTTTAAATTATTTTTGCTTTCTTTCCTTATTTTTTTGCAAAAATAGATGATAAAAGCGTTTATTTTTGCATATCAAGCTAGTTTTTATGAGATTAGTAGCGATTTCTCAGAGAAATTATGAGATAGATTGTTATATTGAATGAGTATTTAACAAAAATAGATCTTCAATATGTTATGAAATCACTGCTCTATCATGTTCCATAGTAAAATAAAGACGCAATCACGCTTTATCATTGTAATTTATTAGATATTTACTTTTATTCTGCATTTTGTATACGATGTACTTCCGTCAAAGCTCTGCTCTAGAGCTTTATATCTGTTTCCAACAGAGCTGGGCAAGTCAAGTCAGACTTGACTTGACTTGAAAATTATTTTTGTGACTTGGAAAATCTCTGACTTGCCCAGCTCTGGTTTCCAATATAATATCAAAATGTGACAAGAGTATGCTAGTATGAATCTATTTATTTCATGTTATTTGAGATTAAACCCCTAAAATTGCGTTGTTCTTGAAGATTTAAATGATAGTGGAGTAAAATGGAGCATTCAGTCTTTATTCCTAGACAGTCTCAATGAAATGAATCAAAACTCATATGTTTCCGACAGATTCTAATATGGAACTCTGTATAACCAATAATTTACAAACAGCACTTTTGGTTTAACTTCTCAATGTGTAGAAACGGGGAGTCTTTGCTGATATCTTCAAGGGTACTTCATTATGTAGATCACAGATCATGCCGAGAGCGAAAGTCAACATTACTAAAAAGCTAACAAGCCATTTTAGACATCGAAATCTCTTTCGTCGAACCAAGAGAGTATCAACAGGCAGGTTTTCTCCGATCATTAGGGCCAACTTGGAAGATAGGATCAATTTTTTGCCATATTCTTCTTTTTGTATCTATAATCATGTCGCAGAAAGATTTCTTAGTGATGAAAGAGAAGTCTTAAATAATTTGTGTAGCGATTCAGAGTAAGATATGACTGATATTAGATGGAAAAAGTCAATGATGACTGATATACGATCAGGAAAAACAACTATGGCTCATGCCGGTCTAACTGGTTTAGCCCGGTACCCAGGTCGAACATTTCGGTCCCGGAAACGGCCGGTTCTGGGGTATTCCGGAGATTCCATGGAAGCAGTATTCCGGTGAAAGGATCCGGTGACCGGATTTATCCGGTTCCGGCCGGAATCGACAGGAACCTGTCATAACTGGTAGCCGGATACGGTTTCCGGATTCCTGCATCGAATTCCGGAAAATTCCCGGTGGGTTCCGGTCGAAAACAGCGAGTTTCTTGCAGGCTTTCGCCGGAAATTCACGGCATACTGGTTCAGGAATCATTGGGTGTGGGTACCGGTAGCGGCCTAGAAAAAGTTCTACCGGTTGCAACTCTGAGACCCAAATCTAGCCTTTCTCAAATGTCGGCCAATATTTTCTCTGAGAACTCTAAAGTGACGTGCAACGCCGAAAAGCCTATATTCAGTCGACGGTCAAGCGAGTCTCACGGACGAGCGTTACTTGTTTTTATAACATAGTATAATAATTATTTAGTTTCTTCTATAAACAAAAACACGAGAAGAAATCCTATATTATGTTACAAAAAAAGAAGAAACCATTGGTTGTGAGTTCGTTTGCAGTCTTTCTGCTTTTAAAAACTGATTAGTACAGCTAAATATACGTTTTGCTTATTTCTTATGATGAAGCTCAACATCATGCATCGTTGATGCCAAGTAACATAACAATAGATATATAAGTGAATATTTTTTCTATAATAACATTACTTGTTCATAGTTTTTAAGATTAATTTTTCTCACTATGTGCCCAATTACTTCTTCATAATTCAAAATTTGTCCGTCGATGAATTTTTTATGAAAAATGAATTCTTCTAGTGAATTAGTTCCCGCTTAGTATTTCTATGAGCGTTTTTTCTTAATTTTAATAAAAATTTAATCATACGAAAATCAATTTTCACTGTAAAGCTCAAAAACTTATTGGAACAAGTAAAAATATTTTCAAACTTTGAGATTTCATGATTTGTTCATTAAATTCTAGCTGTGAGATTATACTTTATATCCGGTTTGATTATAGAATACTATTAGCAATAAATTCAAATTCGAATATTTCAGTATTTCTACACCAAGAATCTCCTTGTTTTTTTTTAAATTGATTCGTTCGGTAGTGAAAACTTCTATTTGAAACAAATATTTAGTACGATTAACCTAACAACACAGGTATTCCAATCCCTAATTGTTATTCTCACCGAAAAATATATATTCATGTGCCAATAAGAAAAATTTTATTTACGTAAAACGTGGCAAAATAGATTACTTTAATTAATGATAGTTGGAACTGCAGTATTTTTTAACATCTTTACTACAACGAGAAAATATTTAAAAAAGAAACGTTACGAATATGAATTCATATGGTTTTAATATCAATCCTTTATTCATTATTGTAAATGTTTTCTGAAACAGGACCTGAAAGGAGTGTTGAAGTGTTTAGGGTAGAAATTTGCACCTGCCACCCCCTCCCCCCTCCCCCCTCCCCTGGCAGACCATTACAGACAGGTGATTTCCCCGTCACAGACCCTGAGAGGCAGGCTTTAGATCCATCACAAGCAGTATTAGAAATGCAGGGAGGATAGAAAGGTGGAGCGATGACTATTATGCACCTCGATAGACACCTCTGAACTTGCTTATAGACTATCATGAACCTTGTCACGGTAAAAGCAAGCACCGGATAGCGCTACAATACAGATAAAATCTAAGAGCTGTTTTCGTTTTCCATTTGTAGGTGCTGTATTAAAGTATAATGAAAGAAAGAGTTCACAAATAGATAACACAATACGTTTTCTGATAAGAATAAACAGTTACGTCGTGTTTCACATTTTAATCCCAAAGGGATTGCGCTAACAACTTTAAATACGTCAATCATATAGTACATTCGTAATACTACTGTAATGTCGAAAAGGAGATTACAATCATCGATAAAAAAAATACATTAATCACATGTGATGTAAAATTAATCGTTTGGAAGCAATCTAAAGAACATGAAAGATCTACACCATTAATATAATTGATATATTAGACTAAACAAACAAAAAAGATAATCAAATACACGTACTTGATCGTGAAAAAAAGGAAAAGAATTAGGAAATTAGTGTTCATGTTAAACGACATAGATTTCCTGGTTGAATACTCTAAAAAAACGAAGATGAAAAGCTTCAAAAGAAAATTTTCTGATTCTACTAACAGGTCATAAAAGCATCCTGCAAGTCTTAAACTATAGACTTTTGATTACATCTGTGAAAAGTAATATATCCTAGATAAATGTATTCACATTTTTTTATGAATATTAAAGCAAGTGATAAGAACATGTTGTACTCACTACATTTTACATTGACCTCGTAAGAAATAGAAACGCGGCGTGACTACTTTTCAATTAATCATACCGTTGAAAGATGAAAAATGAATATTTAAATCCGTAGATATGCACGTATTCACCTATTGTAAAATAACAATTATTTACTTTTGAATTTTTCTCCATCGAATGTTATAACAATCTAACCTTTACTGGTGAAATTCAAATGAATCATGCAGAACAAAAGACGCTAGTTCAAAGTTTTAACATTGTTAAAACTACTCATAGATTTAATTGAAAAGTCTTGTTTTAAAACATAAAATGAAAAAAGCAAACAAATCGAAATCTCTATAGGAAAATTTTTCAAAGCTAACCATAGAAAATTAATTAATCCTAACGGAACAGATTGGTAGCAATAAGTGCCAGAAAATTTTCCACCTTTTTTTTCAAAACGAATTAATGATTTAGTTTAGTCTATCTTATATTTTATTTCATTTTTATTAAATCTTCAAGATATTGAATTGTTCACTAACGAGAGAAAATATTCAAGTGTCTGTGAACCTTGATTCATTTCAATGTTTGCCTGTATGTTTATTGAGTGTAGCAAGTATGGTAGCATTGGTGACGATGTTAAAATTGAGCTGAGAATATATCTTTTCATCTGCTTTTGTTTGCCTCTTATGCATACTCACGAGCATTTGTTTATATTTGCAAAAGCACATGCAACCACATTCATCGATACTTCACTTCATTTTCATACATTTTCTGTTCTCTTCGTCGAACTGAATTTAAGATTTAAATCGAAAGATTAATCCTATAAACGTAATTATGTTACTAAACTCTGCTGCTCAACACCGTGTCAAACATTTTAATCTTTTATTAGCACGTGAGTTATCATATATTGAACGTACGCATTCACAAAATTTAATGTCTCATCAAAAACTTGAAAATTCAATACGTCGGGCTAATAATCAAATATTGAATAATAATCGAACGAAAATATGCATGCCATTTGATAATATTTATAATGAACAAACTGAATCTATTGATTATCATAAAATGCGTATTAATGATCAGATTAACATCAACGGTAACACCAACACCAACACCGCCAACACTACCATCATCACCGCCACCGCCAACAGTAATAATAATAATATTGCTAACTACAATCATAATAATCCTAATTTAAAACGTCGTTTATCAATTGGTGGTTCTAGTACTATTAGTCAAAATCAAGCAAATTTTGATCCAATCGTAGATGAATTTTCTGATGATACATCATCATTTATTTCATTACGACGTCGAAGATTTTGCACAAAAAGTCAACGTTTACCTCCCATAGTTAAAGCAACTATATCGACACGACACAAACGAGAACCTAAAAATCAACAATGGGTGACAAATCTTCCACAATCCAATAATAATAATAATAATAATAATAATAAATCAAAAGATGATGTTCATGAGCACTTAACAATGTTAAATGATGAATCCTTAAAATCTACTTTAACAGAATTAACACCTATACAAAGACAAGTCCGTTCATTTCTGGAAACATTACCAACATATAAAGGTGCTCAAAATGGTTTCGATAGTTTTGGTCCAGCATCACTCTATACAAATCGCTCACCAGTTGCGATCAGATAAAAAGCAAATTTATTTTTCAGTTTTACGTCAAACAGCAAATGGGAAGAACATACTCATTACATCTAGTCATATGATGAATGCATCCTAAAATTTGTCTTGTTTCTTTCTAATTTCTCATTCTTCTTTCAAATTATAATTCATGTTCATTTCAATAATTATTATTCTAAATGACAACAGAATATTTCTGTTCTTCATCATATTGAGTTTCTTTACTCAATGCAGCTTTTCTCATGATACTCGCCGAAAAGCCGTCACAAGTAATTATACTTGTTTTCATTTTATTCAAGAGTATCAACATCATCATAATGACTGTTATGTGCAAGATTTAAACATTATTTCATATCTTTTCCTTTTATTTCAAGGTTGAACAAAAAAAAAGAAGAAAGTTAAATAAATAAATAAATAAAAATGTCCATCATGCATTCCTTTGACAATACATGTATGAATATTTCACCGTATCATTATAATTCGTTTCTTTTCTTTTTTGTTTCATTCACATTTTCATGTAATTTTTTTTCTATAGAAAATACATAACAATAAATAAAAATAAAATAAAAGTTTCTTTTCGTTTTAATATTGACGAGCAAAGTATTCGCGCTTTTGGCATTCATAAATACGACGAATATCGTTACGAAAATTTACATTAAAAAATGAATATATGAGTGGATTGCACTAGAATATAGGGAACGAAAAATAAAAAGAAAAGTTATGTTCTATTTCTTATTATTATATATCTCTGTTAAATGTATACGTACCGCACTGTTAATGTAGTAAAGTATAAAAAGAATTTCACGAAAATTGTGTGGCTCAATCTTAAATAATGTATGAATTAAGGATGGTAAATACATAAGAATAAATACAGCTGTGACTATAAATAATGTAAATGTTGTTCGAATATTTGCTAAACGTTCTTGTGTTTGTTGTCGTTCAAGTACACGTTGCGTTTCACCATCAAATGTTGATGGACGACGTGCTGATGATATAGAAAAATTTCGTATTGAAGAATTTCTATGATCAATAGATGATACGGTTGATAATGAACGATTATTATTTATATGAACAGTTAATTGATTTTGTTGTTGTTGTTGTTGTTGTTGGGATTGATTAACTAATAGTGATAAATTATGTGGAGTTAAACTAGATCTTTGATAAGTATTGGATGAATCTTCACTAATACACTGATCAGCTAGTCCACCAGACGTCACTATCAATATTAAGTAAAAAGAAAAAAGAAAGTGTTTCTCTATTACTTACTGGTGTCTGTAATTCTTAAAAAAAAAGAAGAATCTCACTGAGTCAATCATCAGCTTTTGATGGGTACTCCGGATAAGAAGTATTCTATAGGGTATATGCCAGGTCTCGTTTATGCACTTGACTTTGTCTATCAAGGAAACATGTAAAAGGGAAAGTGTGAGTGTAATTAGATTTTTTTCATATCCGACTGAACAGCAACAGACACTATGTGAACTTCAAGAAACCTGAAAAATAGAATAATGTTTACATGTAATTGAATTGTGTATCTTCTTTATTCTTTCTAGAAGCTATAGGGAAATAAATCAATAGGAAAAACTCGAATGACATTGAATTGTTTCATAAGATACGTACGAAATGATACTTTTCTTTGATGAACCGATGTATCTGATGGTCTTTGTTGTTGTCGAATCGATAATGTATTACTTGATTTACGTGCAATGGATGAATGACGTAAATTTGCACATTGTGATACACTTCTTGGTAGTTCGTTTTCTTTTAATTGATTATCTTTAGTAATAAATTCATCTGATGTTGGTGCTAATGTTGGTGTTGTTGGCGGCGGTGTTTGTAATCCAGGTACAGTTAAATGTGTTGCACTTGGTGGTGTCATGGAACGTAATTGAAATGTATTGTTAGGCGATAATAGTTTTGTTGTTTGGTCAAATGAATCTTCAGTTGATGTTGACGGTCGACTATTTGATGAATGTTCAGTTCCACAATAAGTTGTTGCAGCTATTGAATTAATTCTTGAACGTATTAAATTTGTTGATGTTGTTTCGTCCCATATTCCACTTGTTAAATAAGTCATTGATGTCATCGATATAGCTGAATAACGTTTACCACGTGCGCCGTTTACTTCTAAAACAATTTGTGGCCTATGATGATGCTGATTGGTTAATGCTGATGATGGTTCATCTTGCATATGGTGAAGATGTAATTGGCGTCGTCCTCGTTGATTTAATGGTTCATGTAGAGCTGCTTCTGATGGACGTTGTAATTCATGCATATATTCATTACTCGTTTTACAACAATAACAACAAATAAGCGTTAATGTTGATGGTGGTGAATGTTCATCAGGAAAATTATGGTGATGATGATGGCGAAAGTTTTTCGCTGATCTTGTACCTCTACCTGTAGATTCAACTTCATTATGCATTAGATAAGAACGAATTATACGACGATAAGCGGATAATTTTCTTGTACGCGTGATACGACGTTGATAAACAGCATTATAGATAAATGCATAAAGAACAAGTACCAGTAAAAGACAAATTGCAAATAATGTGCTATGAAACATTCGATAACTATCGATAAATGTTGATGATGCAAGATCTTTGAAAGAAAACAAAAGTTGTTTATCAATTTTCAAGAACACAACAACAACAAAAAACGAAATTAACAAATCGGTAAAATTCTAATTTATTAGAGTGATGCGAAAAACGTATTCGAAAAAAACGCATTTAGCCTAGAAGTTTTTTGCTATTCAGTTTTTAAGAGTAATATGTCTTTTATGCTTGAAGCGTTCAACCGGAGTTAGTAAAAGAAAAAAAAATTGCTTAACTTACGTAAATTAGATTTTGGGCTACAAATAACGTCTGTCATATTGCCTACTATAAACGGTACTGAAGAATCGATTTTTTTAATATGTTCAACATGGTTATACGTTAATAAATTATTTTCATCAGAATATTTTATAGAAAAACGTTCAGAGTGATTATTGTGTACTTGCAACAAATGCTCTAATGTTGAATATTCTGTCATTGGTATAATAGCTAAAAAGAAACCAAAGAAGTTCATAATATAAAGTCTTGTTTTTAGTAGAAGAAACTCTTAAGAAATAGTACCTAATAATGATGAGAATAGACCACAAACAATAACTATAGCACGTGCTCGATGTATAGTAATAATTTTATATAATGGCCAACATATACAGAAATATCGATCGAATGCTATTGTTGTTATTAGAAGCGTTGAATAGAGTACGTGCGTTGATAGAAAACCATAAAATTTACACAAAAATTCATTTCGAATACCTATTTTAAAACAGAGAGTTATATTAATATGCGTCAGTCATTCTTACACTAAGAGGATTCATTTGTCTTATGTTTTGCCTTTATCGCAGACTTAGGAAAAAAAGAAACTTATCACATTTCTATTTTACTTTTCATGAGAGTTTGCAAAGAATTTCTGATAAGTATTATTTGGTTTCAGATTGATATTTGTTTCTTTTTGTATATAAATAAAAAGGAATAATGAGGATGAAAACAATATGAAGCTTTTAAGTAGAAAATACATTTTCCTGTTTTCGTTAATCAAAACCTTGATGAATCAAATTCAAAATTTTTTCTTTTTCTTTTTTTACAAGAGTAACTTCATACCTGTTGTTATTTGATATAATTCTAAAGGTGCCAAAATCAAACATATAATTAAATCAACAACAGCTAACATTTTTATAAAAAATGTACATGTTTTATTATCTTTACGGTTAATATAGACATAAAGTACGAGAACATTTCCTGTTGTACCAAATATAATTGTTACTAATAAAACAATCCATAAAGCAATCAATACAAATAAATGTATTGGTTGATCGTTATTATATGAATTAATTTGACTAGCATAATTCATAGAAGTTCCATTGGATATTTGTGATACTAATGATGGATCTAAGGTTTGATAATAATACGTTGCTGTTCCCATTGATAAATAATTGCTTTATATGTTTTCTATATCTTCATTTGAAAGGAGAATATGTAAAAAAAAAGGATATAATATAATCTGTCAAAAATTTTGTTTCGTTGGAAACCTTCGTTTTTACATACACACATATATATAGATATAGATACAGATATGTAAGAAACGTCATTAGCATCTAGTAACTACGTTTTCTTACTGACAACTATCAGTCTGATACCTATAATTAATAAAGAAAACGAGCTGTTGATGAAAAAGAAAAAAAAAAACACCAGAAAGTTATATACTCGTCTCATTTATATCATAGTACTACAGGACTAATAGCATAGTCTAACGCAGTAAGAATGAGTAGATCAAAGTTGAACTATATTATTTTTCGGTAAGAAGAAAGAAAGTGATCTATGTCTTTTTCTTTATATGATTATAAACCTGGTTCTCTATATATTTCAAGTTTATCTAAGAAAAAAGAAAAGAAATGCTTTATTTCTTCTCGCTATCGGCTTCTTTTTCTGCTCAGTATTTTCACTCAGTTCATTCTAATTATATTGACTATAGGCATTCCTTTTTTTTCTTTACTCTCTTCTTCTCTCTTTCTCTCCCTTTGTTCCCTTAGTCTATATCCTGTGCAGCTTAGCAAGCTGATGTTGATAGGCGGTGCGCAAGTTCGCATTTCCTAAGCACGCACATGCATGCATAAAAATACACACGCAACATGACATCGTTTCTTTAATACTGCATCATCACTGACTAATCGTCATAAAAACAATAGTGATAGTATGGTTCGTAACTTCAAAATTGTTATATTGTTATAAACAAAGAGAGCTATATAGAAAATATATACTCGGAGAATGCCTGTAATAAGACATCTATCAACGAGAGACAGAACAAAGACAGAAAAGAGCGAGTGTACGTGACGTAGAATTTTGAGGGAAAAAAAGAAAAAAAAGAAGAAGAAAAGACAAAGTCAATTAAAGTAATCGTCAGTTGAAAAGAATAGGAGATCTTCTAACACCAAAGTAGCTGTTGGTTGAAGAGGTTTGTAGAAATCAGAGTAATAAACTTCATGACCAATACGTGTCTTTTCGAACGAAGAAGCTCACTCTTAAACTTCATACGACCAACTTTTCACATTAGATTAAAAATCAAGAAGAGATGCTTTCATGTATGGGGATCAACAATTTGCGAAGCATAATATTCATCAATTCAATTTCACTCATGAAAAAAAACCCGACAAACACAATGTTTTTCTAACAACAATTGTCAAGCTATAAAAATTTCATTAAAATTAAGTGAAATATCGACCTATTGTTTTTCTTCTATGAAACTAAAAATTACTTATTGGTATTTTACGCTGGAAAACGTTTTTTTCTTAACAGAAGAAAATGCTAAACGTAATGTAGCTATCAAAAAACTCCAACTAAGGTCTGCTTTTAATAAACGACACATTTGTTCTGTCTTTAACTGATGCAGTGTTGCGACTTTTAGATATGAAAAACATTGTTAATTGTATCAAAATATATTTTCGATGTATAGAAAAATATAAGAAATTAATCTATCTATGAATGACAAGATTGAATTGGTTCAGTAAAAAAAAAGATCATCGATCGTTGTCAACAGTCATTTGATTTATTTCCTTTGTTCTATATGATGGTGAGAGGAACGTGTCTCTACGTGTGCTGCTTTTCAAGTTAAGAACTTAGTGAGGAATCGTAGCCAACAATGAACACAGAGTTGTTTTCTATTAAGTGTCGATTTCGAAAGCACTCGTGACAGAATCAAGCCTGTATTCTCAAACATACACAGACACACACACACATATATAAATATATATATGGATGGCACACGTTCATAAACATTTGTCATAAACACACAATAATAAGCTTTTATGGTAATAAAGAAAGAAACAAGGAGCTGAAAAGGGGAGGGGTGTAACGCCTTGGTAAGCATCAGAGACGAAACTAGCAAAAATGCCAGGTGCCATAGTATTAGTTATGGCAGAATGACCACAATGGAAATTAAATAGTATTGAATATTGAATGAAGATCCAATAGTCTATTCAATGAACAGAAATAGTTGAGAATAAGAGCTCCACAAGCAAGTAGCGGACACGAGTTCGAGGGATTGTAAGCAACAGTCGAGTTAGATTGGTTGTAAGGAACAATCAAGTTGAAAGAAAGGTAATATATAATTAATCAAAAACATGATTCTTTTTGATGGACAAGAAAACTAGTAGTCAGAGAAGATACGCTCGAATGATGAGCGAAAGGTATTGAAAGAATGAGTATAGGTATATCTGTGTGAGGAGAGATATATGAAGAAGCTTGAACAAAAAAGAGAAGAATAAGAATAATGAATCAGCCATATTAGGCACAAAAGCGAACACAAGAAAAAGAGAGGGAAGTTAAAAAAAGAAACAAACAGGCACTAAGATAACATCTGTGACGCTGATGCCGTCACAGGGGTCCCGTGCCAAATAAAACAGACCTCCGGGCTGAAAAACAGTTAAATTAAGAGCACGGAGATGAATGTGAAACTGAAAAAAAGAATACATCAGTTTTTTTTATTTTTCGATAATTAATTCGATTTGTACATGGTATTAATCGATGTATTGATGTTTGTTTTTGACCGAGTTTTTTTATTTAATTGCTGTTGATTCTTGTGTATTTGAAAATACTGTTTTTGTTCTTGATTTTCATCAATTTTGGGATTTTGTTGTTGTTGATAGTCATTTATTTTAAAATGCTTTGGTTGATCTTGATCTTGATTTGATGAGGCTGGCTTTCTTTGTTGTAATGGTTGATATGGTAAATTGAAATTTCCGATTATCGTTGATGTTATGTTGGATAAGTAAATTAGGTTCGAAAATTGCCTAAATTTTGTGAGTTCTTTTTTGTGTTTGATATGCATTTGTATGAAATGATCCTTGTTGTTTTGCGATATCACTGCTTGAGTTATTATGTGCAATGTGAATTATTGATGGAAAATGATAACGATCTATTGGTTCGTTATGGAATTTATCAATTGTATTTGTAGATTGTGTTTGAACGATTTGTAAAAATGTATGTGCTACAGGTTGTGGTATTGATTGTACATTTTTGTTGATGTACTGTTGACGATGTAGTTTGATCGAATGATGTATTAGTACTATCATTTTGAGTACTAATAGATGAATATTGTTGTAATAATTGTGCATTATTAATTGAAGTTGGATGCTGCGATTGACTTGTAGTAGAAAATTGAGGAGAAATATCCTGTGATGAAGATGGCAATGATGAAACTAATATTGTTGGTAGTATAAGTAATCGTGATGATCGGATAACATTCGGTGTTATAATTTCGGTAGGTTTTCGTACCTGTGAGCTATTAATATGATCATCACTTACCAAATTTTGAATTGGTTTAGAAGTTGATGATCGTCTATGAGAGTGTGGTAATTGATTGGTTAAAACGTGTGTTGGTGGAATTAATGAGTAATAATTCAATGTCTGTGTTGACATTAATGGTAATGGTTGAATTGAATGTGATGTTGATTGATTATTATTAATTTGCGAACGTACTATAGCAAGTTCTAATTTCAGACGACTAATTTCTTCTTGTGCTTGTAAATTTTCAGACCACATAGCTGTCGAATTTTCGATCTGAACTGATCGACTTGGAGCAGGTCTGGAGTCGTTGTTGATGAATGTTCGTGTAAATTTCGATTGTTCAACATGTGCAAGACGATCGGAAAATATGTGAAATTGATCTCGAATATTATCGAGTGTGCTTTCATGACATTTATTCATTGTGTTTCGAATAGCATGATCAGTTTTTGAACAATCAATAACTGCTGGTGTAACTGAATGAGAAGATGATCGAATTAGTTCATTCATTTCCTCAAAAGAACAGCGCTCCATTGATGACGGAGAAAATACTTGTGATAGTGAAGAAATCGATGCTGATTCAAGGTTCAAAGTAAGCAGTTATGCAGAATAATAGTTGACAGGTTGATGGGAGACTGAACTCACAACATCAATCCTGGTGTGGTCGTCACTTGTAACTCCTTGATAAGGATCAGAGGAAAAACTAATAAAAATGCCAGATGCTACAGTATTGGTTATGGCAGAATGACAGCGATGGAAATTAAATAGTATTGAATATTGAATGAAGAAACAATCGTTTATTGAATGAACAGATATAGTTGAGAATAAGAAGAACTCCGCAAGCAAGTAGCTGACACGAGTTCGAGCGATTGTAAGGGACAGTCGAGTTAGATTGGTTGTAAGGAACAATCAAGTTGAAAGAAAGGTAATATATAATTAATCAAAAACATGATTATTTTTGATGGACAAGAAAACTAGTAGTCAGAGAAGATACGCTCGAATGATGAGCGAAAGGTATTGAAAGAATGAGTATAGGTATATCTGTGTGAGGAGAGATATATGAAGAAGCTTGAACAAAAAAGAGAAGAATAAGAATAATGAATCAGCCATATTAGGCACAAAAGCGAACACAAGANGTTGAAAGAAAGGTAATATATAATTAATCAAAAACATGATTATTTTTGATGGACAAGAAAACTAGTAGTCAGAGAAGATACGCTCGAATGATGAGCGAAAGGTATTGAAAGAATGAGTATAGGTATATCTGTGTGAGGAGAGATATATGAAGAAGCTTGAACAAAAAAGAGAAGAATAAGAATAATGAATCAGCCATATTAGGCACAAAAGCGAACACAAGACAAAGAGAGGGAAGTTAAAAAAAGAAACAAACAGGCACTAAGATAACATCTGTGACGCTTGTGCCGTCACAGAGGGGCGTGGTGATGAAAAAAAGGAAGAAGACTAACTGACGGACTTGCATACAGACACAAATACACGTCTAGGACACAACACAAAACGGAAGTTGCTTTTTTTTCTCTTTTTTGCGTGCCTATATTTTTCCTTCAATGCCATTGTCTATATGCTACAAGTCACAACCAGTTTTGTTACATGGTTTGTTTTTAATAGCACAAAACTAAAAACTACAATATAATCTTTAAAAAAAGATCATCATACTAGGGTGTTGATGCCTATAGTAACATTTCTTCCTGAATATTTATATACTTGTATTAATGCATAAAGTAGTTAAATAGTTTTCTAAATAGTCTATTCTAGATGAATAAGTGAACACTTAATTTCTGTTTTTATGTAACAATATTTCACTTTAACAATTGCCTAATAAACCCTTTTTTTTATAAATAACACAATCAGTAATTTTCATCGTCTCTCTTTTGTCGACCTCTAAATTATTGTTTATGGCAAAATGCCATGTCAATAAATTAAGGCATAGCAAACAATGTTTTTGATCCAACAATCTATCTCAATGATTGTAAAAACTAGGCAATGAAACAATGGTAAGATGATAGGATGCGATTATATTCTTTAATCAAATGAATTATATTAAAAACGATAGTCTAAGCTACTAACTGCATAGCATCATCAATTTATTTCAATCATGATTATATATCATAGCAATCAATTTTCTTTCAGAAATTCTATTCAAGATAGTTTACTAACTTTTTTCTAGTTACCCGACGTGCATGTGCGCATATTTAAACAAATAGTTGTCTTGTAGCAATTTTGTTTTTTTACTTTCATAAATAAATAATGAACAATTCTTCAGCACGTTTGCTAACTGAACTAGATAAATAAAAATCAGGCATATGCTATATAAATAAGAAACTATTTCAAACACAAGATTCTTGATACAAAATTAGTAATTTGTAGTAAAAAGTTAGTAAAAAACAAAGCCTACGCCTCATTAACAGTTGTCGAATATTAAATAAATCATAAATCTTGCTTCTCCCCCCCCCCTCTTATTCCATAATTAAAACTGCTATATACATATATAATGTAAGAGAATAAATCTGGAAGAAGTAAAATGACATTAACCAATAGATATTCTATAATGATAAAGTTTTTTCTATTCACCTTAGAGATTAACTTTCTTCTTGCTTGACAAAATACAATACTCGCATTAACAACAGGAGAACTAATAGAATATGGAAAAAGTAACAGAGTGAGAGAGTGAAACAGCAGGGACGTCTCCTCAGAGATCAATTCTCTGAGTAGCATTATCCTCTCGTACACACTCAGACAATGACATGAGAATGAAGAGAAAAAAAATATATATATACATGATCAACGATTATTAGCAAATGTAAAGGGACTAGAGATTTGTTCGTTCTTTTTATTTTTATGGATAGTAACTCGTAAGTAGATGATCCTATCGATTCTAATAATCTACATACACTGCGTTCTTGTTTTATATTTTCTCCTCTATTTTACGTAGAAGAGACAGTACCTTTGAATCAAGAAGAATACGAAGAGAAAAGGAAAAAAACTTCTTAAGAGAGATTGATGGAAAAGACTATTTCGATGTTTCTTGCGTGTGCATATCTTATGTGTGTGAACGAGCAACATGCAAATGAGACTTCTGAATGGCCTACAGAAGTACTCATCGAGAAAAGGAAAGAAATGTGCTCAGACTGATCAAAATATCAATTCCTCATTGAGAGTAGCACCCCTAGAAAACGTGAAGAAAAAAAATATCAATCATAATTTTATTTTAAATCATAGCTAATTTGTTTCCATTCTAATTGACTTTATCAGCATTTGATAGTATTTCATGCAGAGAAAAGAAATATTAAGTATTCTTTATACATTCGAATGCAAGATATATTTTTATAAAATATTACATTGCATACTAGAACTGGTATTGTGTGTAGGAATCTCTGATTATTCAATGAATAATGATGAACTAGTTTATGGCACTTATGCTACACATTACAAAAAAGAAACGAGAAGAAAAAGAAAAGCTACCTAAAGACAAAAAGCATGATTGATTACATGAATATTAATATACTTCACAATTTTACATCGTTTTTAAGTGTTGTTAGCGTCTGATCTTGTTTCTAAAAATGAAAATCTTCATTAGAGACTACAGTAACTCAAAAAACAGAATACTCATGTAAAAATGTAACAGGTCATTATCAGTCCTGTTGAATTTTTAATCTTTTTTTTTCTAGCTAAAACTATGAAAGTCAAAAAACCCAGAAAAATCCAATCGAGTCTATTTAGTATGTTCATCTGAATTCTTTTCACGCAATGGCTCAATTTGTTGCGAAATCAAATCATCGTGTGCAATAATTTTATCTAGTTTTGTTGATGTTGTTCTCGCTTCGGATTCCGTTATTATTGTTGTTTCATTTTGAGGAGTTTTTATTGCCTTCTCCGAGATACCTTGAAGATCTATATATATATATGGGAAACAATAAAGAGTGAATGATATATAGGGAAAAGAAAAACAAGTCAACTTACTAAGAGAGCGAACAATATAAGTAAAATATGTTGTTTCAACATCAGTACCCCCATCAATAACATATAAATCTACGCATTCACGTATATCACGATTGATCATTAGTTCAATAGAGTAGTCAATTTGTGAAAGAGGAAATACACGACGTAGTTGATCACCATTATATTGATTTTTCGAAAGGTGATCAGCAATAAGAATGTTGTTTAACGGTACGTTGCCAGCAATTCAAAATGCAATAACTGAAACTACATACAAAAAAGAAAAGAAAATATTAAATATTTTTTACAAAAATTCCTTACGATTACCACTGCCTAGTACATATTGAAGAAATGCTGTTGGATAAGCATCAATCATGGTCGATGAAGTTGTATGCATATCTTTAAAATCTAGAAAGACACTTAAACTTGATTGGCAAAGTCTAGAAGCAGTGCAATAAAAACGAAAACAAACTATCTAGATAATTACTTTCTTTATTTAGTATTCTTACACATCAGTTAATTGCGCATGTTAAATAAATGATGAAAATTTTCAGTTATGTTTCAAAAGATTGTTTCAATAAATTATCCGTATACTTTTGTGTCCATGAACGAATAGTAAATACAACGACATATTGCATTATCATCAATATTTACAAATCGTCATAAAATAAACACATCAGTAATGTCTGTTTCATTGGTATTTGTTAAATACTGTAGGGTTTGTTATAAAACGAAATACTGCAGGATGTACACAATTATAAACAAAATAAATTTTAATTTTAATTGATTTTTGAAAATTTTGATATCACTATTGAATAGTTATAGTTGAAGCTGAAAATACGCATGTTTATGGGGAAAACAAGAATTCATCAATGTAAATTTTATCGTCCGTTCTAAATGAGCAATAGGGTAAAGTAAAATTAAACTATTGCTAGATGAACGTAACCGAATTGGATTATGTATTGATATTTCAAGAGAAAAAGAAGTATTTTTTATTATCCGCTAATGTCAAATTATTACACAATGTTAACAGTTGATGATGATAAAAACTGGATCAAAATTAAAACAAATCTTTGCAATTTTCTTTTCATTTAAGATATTCAACTTACAATTGTCACTAAAGTAAATGCATACAAGTTCAAATATTGATAGTTAAAGATCATTTTTTTACGTCTTATATGTACACTTGACGAATACTAAAGTAAATTGAAGAAAAAAAAAGCCTGATCACACCTTCAAATTTCTAAACGTACATTTTGTTCTATGATTTGAATAAAGAAGATACTTGCACATTTATATGATCATAGTCGTCGTTCTATATTATAACAATACAATGCGAAGATGTGTATAACATGAAAGCGATTCATTCATTTTATCTAGGCCCAAACTTCAATGTTTTCATTGTACAGTTCAAACTTAGCGTCGAGGTCAAAATTTCGATTTTAAATATTTTCTATGTACTTTATCATTGGTGACATTGAACAAGAAAAAAAAAAGAAATCAATATGCTTGCAACTATGTATGTATGCTGTTAATACCAAATGATGTTTCATCGTTATAGAAACGAATCAATGTTCTCTTATATTTTTATCTTTCAGACGGGTATACTTGCAAGTTATTCGTTGATAAAACTATATAAATGTCAAAATTTTCAATCTTTACTTATCTTGTAAAAAAAAAAAAAAAAGAATCAGGAATAGATGAAAACCTTACCATGTAATATAAGATATTTCAAATTTCTATGTTTACTATGTTTACTATTTCAAAATGCATAATTTAACTAGTATTTGTATCAAAGCCATCTTAAAAGTCGTTTCATTTTCAACCATTTCAATGGTAAAATGAATAGATTTCATGTTGATTTCGTCCTAATTATGCTTATTATTTGCTATACATTTTGTTTTGCATAAAGTATTTTAATTGTATTCCTTTTTTTTTTCTTTTCGGCTGGAAACTTATTCATATTATAACTCTATACAATAATTACTGAAGTATTCGAACTGTTTTCTTTCAGAAGCATGATGTATAAACTGATCCTCTGAATATATTCATGTTCACGCAACGAGCAGGATCAATTAATTGAAAGCGATCAGATGTAATTCAATAAGCATAATTGAATGTTGATCAGAAAAAGAACCATTATAGCCGAAGCGATCGAAGAGAAATCTTCCTATTCATTCAAAGAACAAATTCTATGCTACTTTTATAGTATTCTTGATTACAATATGCTTCTACGAATATCGCCTACATATAATATGAATAAAGGTATCAAATGTGAAAGAAGACGAAGAAAAAAAAGAACGAAAAGAGGGGTACATTCTTTTCTCTTTCGAAAATTTTTTCATTAGTCGTTGTTATAGGTTTTATTTCGTTCGAAGCAACCAAATAATATATATATATATCTATATATTTTGGAATAGTAATACTTTATTTTAATATAAAAGAACACGGAGAAAAAAAAAGAAATCCACTTTCGTTAATTCAACCAAATTACAAAACTCAGTTATACGAGTTTATTCTAAAATATAACCAATCGATCATGTTTTTTCTTATCAGTTTTTCATGGTTTGTAGCGGCTAGTTTTGCTTTTGTTCTGGCTATTTTAACTCCTAATTGGTTATCATTTACAAGATCAGGATCAACTTCAAATATAACCGTAGAACGTGGAGTTTTTTATGTTTGTAATTGGCTTCCAAACAGTAATGCATACAAGAGTACTCAATGTTTATCAATAATCGAGCAGACATCCTCCAATGAACCAAATACATGGCTCTATGGTATGTAATATTTGTAATTTTAGTTTTCTTTTTAATATATCTGTCAAATTTCATTCATTATTAACATCATCTGACAAAATAAATATTTTAAAGTCATCTCATTCTATGTCATTAACTGATGACATATGTTATGAAAAAAAGAATATTGATAGATAAGCTTTATTTCAAGACTTTTCATAGGATTTGGTATTGCCTGTGCATCATTGGCTATTGCTTGTGCTGGACTGAGTATTATCGTTTTATGGTTGTCCGGAATTTATTTCCAAATACGTCGACGAACAAGAAAAACGTTATGTTTTCTCGTGTGTATTACTCTGCTAACTCTAATTAATTGTAACTAAAATAATGAAATTATATTTGAATAATTTTATTTTTAAAATATATTTTATAGTTTGTACTTCTGCCGCCGTTTGGATATTACTTATTTCAGAAACTCTGAAACTTGGCATAGCAATAGATCGTTATATGTTTGGTTGGCCAATGTGGTTAGCAGTTGGTGCAACCGGTGGCTATTTAATGTCATTGATAACAATGACTTTTTCATTTTGTGCGATAAGCCGACGGAAAAATAAAATATTACAAAACTACTACCGACCAAAAAATCAATTTTAAATCTTATTTTCTTTATGTTAATTCTTCCTTCTTTTTATTATTATAATTAGTATTCATCAAAATTGACTTTTTCGCTAATAGACGTGTACATACTCGATATCCTTCTCTTGTGGTAGTTCTACATGAGTCATTATGATCTTATATACCATCTCAAACGATAAAAGCACAAAAACAAAACAAAACAAAATTAATAAAAAGCTTTTTTCGTCGACTTATCATAGGACGGATAAGTATTTTTTTTCTATCCAACTGTTTAATATTTATCAGTTCTTGCAAATACTAATAAGATAAATAACAAGTGCATATAAATACACACCAGATGATCCTATATTAATCCAAAATGAAAAGCCAAAATCTTTGAGACGAATATCAGAAATATTGAGCACATTTTGTTGAGAATTCGTTGTTAACATCATTACCCATACACCACAAGAAAATAAAACTAAAGAAATATGTTGTAAAAATGAAATTATATGTTTTAAATAGTATAAAATTTCACATACGACTGAAAAAAGTAGCAAGCATAATGAATACCAATAATAATGTTGAACGATTATCATGTGCACGTCGCTCTATAAACCATGAACCAAGTACTAGACCAGTTACACTTAAGCTAACACATGCAAAAGCAAATGAAGCAACAAGCATTGGATAAACCATTTTTACTAAGAAAAAAAATAAGATTCGTATTTTTTTCTATTACAAAAAAGAAATTGCAATGTCATTTACTTGTTTCAAGTAGCGAACCAGGTAAGTGCGACGAGAAAATCCACGAGCACGGTTGTGGTGATGAAGAATTCGTACATATTTGAAAGATATTTAGATTTATGCGTTTTTCAGCACTACTGTACCAGTTTGGAGTAAGAATAGCTGCGATAAAAATTATTGTAGCAATTAATAGTACATGATGTCCGTGTAGAGCTAACGACATATTGCTTATTCTTTATTCTCGAACGGGGAAAGTAAAAGTAGTGAGTGCAACACTTCTTCTTTTTCTCTTTCTCACTTTCTTTGTTGCGACGTTTTGTTAGCACCAACAAGCATCATTTTCTCTCGTTCACAAACTCTTTCTCTCTTCATTTGCTTTCATAATCATATCACATAATTTCATTGACTTGCCTTTTTCCGACAGCAAGAATTACTAATCGCAGTGTAGCACATCAGATATCGATATGCAAGAAATAAAAATGAGCGAGCAAACATCAAAGGAAATATAATCCAAAGACGTGTTAAAAGAATAAGAGAAAACGTATTTTTCTTGTTGCACTAGAAATATTTATTCAGGTCTTGAAATTGAACAGAATAATTTTCTTTTTTCATATATTAATGTTCTATTCCAACACATATATCGATGTGACGTAAAAAAAAGACAGTCAATTGGCATCCGCTGACTATGTCGTTTCTGTTATAATAAATATATCTGTTCAATGGAAAAAAACTGAACAAGGTCGCAAAATATTAAAAATCGAATTCATGCCGTTTTCCTTATTGAATAAATAGATTCTCTTAAATGCAAAACCGTATTATATTGTATCAAAATTTTTCTAAACAAAATATCAGTCGACCTAATGTCGTTGATTGGTTATAATACATTAACATGAAAATATTAATGAATCCCTGAAATGTGAGATTTTGACATAGTATTCTTTACGCTCGATGCAAATGTAACATGATGAATAGTTTCTTTTTCTTGATAGGATAGGATATTGTCTAGAGAAAGATCGACAAATATTAATATCTTTTTTGTCTGTAATTTGGAATAGACGACATCGGATTCTTTTTCAGTTAAACAGAAAATTATATTTTGTATCCTGTTTCAATTGATTCTCAATAGAAAACAAGTAGATACGCATTTTGTCGAATTTAAAATTTTTTTTAATAGTTTCTCGGAAGTATATCAAGCATAAAATTGTATACAATCTTCAAGAATGATCAAGTTGGTTTTTCAATATTTTATCATACATAGTAGTAACATATAGCAGATTGACAATGAGAATTTGTGACCTTCGCCTTTGTTACAGAAATGACTTCCATTAAAAAAGTTTACGCGTGAAATGAAAAACTTTTTTTTTTCATTCAAAATACCATGTGTGGATAATGATGGATATATTGTAATCTGAATGACAGTTAGATTTCTCGTTGTCACGCTCTATTACAACTTTTCCCCTATTTATTCTGCCTTGCAAAACGAAAAAAAACGTTAAAACCATGTCCCTGGTTAGCGTTACTGATTTATTCCGATTTTTCTAGTGTCTGAAAACTAATTATGAGTTCGAAGTTCGGATTCCGAACCCTAGCTGTTCTCGATCAAAGTAAATATTAGTATTACGCAGGAGAATCATTTCGACAGTAGGATCCTATAGGATTCCGACAAGGGTCAGACAGTGAATATACCGAATACCATACGTGTTTCAATAAAACCAACGAAATCTTATGGAATTCCTGGACACGAACCTACAGTCGGATTCGATGTTGGATTTTAACGGAATCCAACTCTAATGAATCACCCTTGTGCTCTGATGGCTCAAAATCCTTATTTGATCATGAATAAGAAAATGATTTTCTCCGTCGGAACCGACAGTAGGTCCGTGTACAGGAATCCTATTGGATTCTGCCGCGGAGTCGGATCCTATTGGATTCGATAAGATCCTACTGTCGGATTCATTCACCTGGGTAGTAATCTTACGCTTAATTTATTTGACATCATTTTCAAATACAACCCATGTCGAATAGAACGGTCCTAAACGACGAAAAATGGCAGCCGTCACGATGACCAGCGACAATTTTTGCCAACAATTTTTGTCGCAATATGGAAAAAAAATTAAAAAACAGATAGTTCTCTACAATATTTGCCCTTTGATCATGAAATGACCAATGTTTCTTTACTTTTCTAATCATCCTATTCTGCACAGCTTAAAAATGTCTATCGGCTGGTCAATAAGAGAACAGTTCTATTGTGATATATTTGTGTCGAAAATGGGAGACTCTTTTCAAGAGAAGTGTCCATAACGTTTTTGAAATTCATTTTTTCCTGACGAATTTAGTATCAAAATGCTTGTCTCAACGGCAGCTTTCATGTCATATGTTATTTTGACTAGCTTCAGTTGAAAAATCGGAATGGGCCGATAGGGTATCTTATACGCCCCTGTCCTTTAGAAGAAATTGCCTTACAATTTTTAAATGTTAGTAATTCAATTATTGATGGTAATATTTAAACAAAATATTTTATTAATCATATGCCAAGATTAAACAAGTTGACATTTAACATTTGTTCAGTTATTTCTCTTGATCAACCAATTAATTTACCTTCAAATGAAGATATTGAAAATATATTTCGAAATTTTCATAATAACTAAATTATTTCATCTGTTTATTATTTTTCAAGAAAAAATTTACTTTATTGTCATGTCTATTCATGTCCACATACATGGACATTTTATCACAATATTACAAATAATTTTCCTAGTGAATTATTTCGATGTGTTCGTGTAATATCATTACATGATGAATGTCCATTTGAACATGATTTTTATCTTCGAATTGCTCATTCATCTCCATTTATTAAAAAATTAAATTTACATAATTATCAATCGCAACAAAATGATCATGCTCAATGGCCAATAATTAAATATCCTCATCTTATTGAAATTGATCTTGTTAAAACACATGAAGATTATCTTGAAGAACTTTTAAATAATAGAAAGATATATTTATTAGACAATGTTCATCTTCGTGTATCTTATGATTCTTTAAAAAATCAGCGATCGATTTTACAAGAGATGCAACGCGTATTAATTGTTCGAAAATCATTCGTCTTATGGTGTTTGACTATACAGTAGAAGATTCAAAATTAAAAGACTATTTTTCTCATGCACAAATCTATTAATTATTGTAAGATATTATTGAAATAAAATTTGAATTAGAAATAAAATAGCGTTTGATATTTCGTAGAGAAGAGATAAAGTTAAAATATTTGTCAAAAAGATTAGAAAGAATAAGATATGACTTGTGTAAATAAGAAAAAAACTTGTCTGGAAGAAAGAATAAAAATAACTAATAGCAACGATTTATCAGCAGCAGTAGCAGCGGCACGACCAATTCTATTATATCTGTTTGTTTGTGCTGATAAGTTTTCCCTTAATCTAGTTGGTATTTTTCTTGATATTTTTAGTTTTTGAACATTTAAAAATTAATTAATCTCTAAATGTTTATCACAATAATCACAATTTGATTGATGCATTGTAAATGTTCTTTGTTCTATTTGTTGCCGTAATAGTTGATAATACGTTTGCAATATACGTGTTTGTTCATTTTTACCTTCTCTTGTACTTGTAGCATCAGATCATAATGGTAAACATCCAATAATCCGACCAATTTGACCACAAATTTCAATATTTGTATCTTTAACTTTGTTTATAATAATTTATAGGGACTTTCTGTCGATTTGTTCTCAAGTTACACTAGTATCTGCTATAATTCATAACAAAGAGTTTTTAATTGTATTCCAACTAGCCGTCAAGGCATTGCAACAATTTCATTGGCAAAAAATTGACGAAGAACAATTGATAAAATAGAATAATAACAAACAAATTAGTTGATATTTTTTCATTATTAATAATGTAAAAAGGATAGATCTTTACAAATAAAAATAAATAGTTAAGAATTATTCTTTTTCTAAGCTTTTATTTTTTATGACTCAATTCTACCAGAAAAATATCTAAAGTCAATAATTATAATACAAATCAGCAGTTTCCGAGGACTGAGAAATAGGAATCCCTAATGTGCCGAGGAATTGTCAGTGTCTCTGATAATTCCTAGACCTAGAGGAAATGGGAATCAACTATAGGCTCCCTCGCAGTTCCACCATTCACGAAATTCGCGATATTACTGTTTTAAAAATAATTTTTGCATGAAATCATTGATTCTCACAATTTTGCAAGTGAAAATGAGAGTAAGAACAAAAATTATCGTGAATATTCCATATTTTTACCTTTAGTATGCAAGGAACTGTAGGGGAACTGATGAGGAATTCCTAATCCTCAGTCCTTGGACACCCCTCCAATATGACGATCATCTAATTAGATCTACCCTTNCTGCAATAAAAATCAAAACAGATCAGGTATTGCCAAATTTGTCGTATTACCTAAACTCATCAAGAGTCTTCTATCACTTTCACATGGTAATGCCGATGTTGAACGTGGCTTTTGTGAAAACGCAGCACTAATCACCGACGACTGATCATCTCTAAGTGACATCTCCATCAACGAACTTCGAGCAACGAAAGATGCCGTCAAATTTTACGGAAAAGTTCATGAAGTAAGTGAGACTATTAAGTAACAGTTAATTATTATCAATATGACTGATATACTTTATAGGTTCCGATTTGCAAAGGACTTCTTGACAATGTAAAGGAGGCGCACTCACGATATCGAGTTGATCAAGAAAGAACACAACGAATACTCAAAGAAAAAAAAAGCCATTGTAGCTGCTGCAAAATTAACGAAAAACAAAGAACTAATTTTGGTCGAAAAAGAACAGAACCTAATCGATCAACGAAAGATATTACAAGGAGATCTAGAAAATGTTCAATGAAGGCAACTCACGGCTCGAAGCTACCGGTACAACGAAAAAAACTTTGCTGGCGTCGAAATGGCACAACTACTTATTGGAGGTGCGAAGAAAAAATTGGATGTTTTGAAAACACAACTCGGCGATAATAGTGATCAAATGAATCAACTCAGAAAAAAATTGAAAAAAATGAACGAAAAAATGGTACAAAAAGAAGATAAATTTGTGAGCTTATAAATTTGTAGATATAAAAATTTGAAAATAAATAAATAAATAACAATAAATATACGTTCTAGAACTATGATTATTTCATTGTGTGGTTTTTCTGATATATGAATGTTATTTCTCTGAAGTGTAGTATCTCTGTTGTGATGTATACGATCATCTTACATGACAAAGAACAAAAGAAGGAATTTTGTTAAAAAGAAGCATGAAGAAGGACGCCCCTTAAAAAGAAGGACCTCTGTTGGGCCTGTATGTTGGATTTTTAATTTTATTATATATTGATCGATAGTTCATCTGCGTAACTTTGCTGCATCATTAAAAAAACTAAAATTTATGCATATTAATTTTCTACAAGTACTATCATTGTTTCATTAACCAATTGTTTCTAAGTTAATAAAAACTCGCAATATCTTTTTGATTTTAAATATATTTTGATCTGTGTAAAAGTTACTATTTTATTCTCAAATATATACTGCTTTTTTTTGCACTTTCCCCCCTAAAAGCTTGTCTCAAGACGACTGACACCAAAGAAAACCAATCAATTGCATTCATTCTGCTAGTAGGATTCAGAAAGACTTTAATACTTCATTATCTTCAATAATAATAATAATAATAATAAGCAAATGATCCAGCTTATATTGTACGTATGCAGCAGCTCCTTACAACAGTCAGAAAATACATTGCTAGAACTATGATAGATACTGTCTATTGATTTATGTTTTGCTCTTGTGCTTCTTTGTAGATGAATTCGATGAAATTAACAACCGTAGAATTTTTAGTGTTGAAATGTAAATATGCACTAAAAAGAAACGCACTTCACTGATCCAGGGACTTCTTGTTCATTGTTGTTCTTTGCCTGATTGCCTATTATATCAAACGAATAGACATGATTTTCAAACGAACGAAAAAGAAAAGGAGATAGAGAGAGGGAGGGAAAAGACAAAACGAAAAGATGTAACTTGTCGACGGATAAATTTGAATCAGTTATACTAGTCATTCTTTTCTTGTGGCGGCGACATTGGTCACGGCAATATCAGATTTTTTTCTTCTATCTATTGATTGATTTTCTTATTATTATCTGCGGTTACTTGAAATTCTTACATTGAATAAAAGAAGACATACAAATGGCTGATCGCAAATTGTTCATTGGAAATCTTGTACGTCGCATTACTCAAGAGGACTTATGGGTTATGTATTCAACATTTGGACCATTAGAAGAGTGTGCTAAATTTCATGAATCGTTTGGTTTTGTTCGTTTCTTACACCCTGAAGATGCTCAAAAAGCATTAAAAGCTACTCATGGCATAACACTTAAAGGACGATGTATCAAAGTCGAATTTGCCGCTACTACAACTTCATGGCGATCAGCTAGTAATTCAAGTTGTAATGAATGTCGTTCATCAGGTAAAATTATTTTATGAAAATTATATTTCTAAATATTTAGTACTTGCGTTAGCTCGTTACAATATTCCACCTATTCGAGCTACTGATTTAGCACCCCAGCGAGGAAATCACCAACGAATAGTTAATATTTCCTCGTCACCCGTGTCGCCAACGCCACCACCAACCATAGGTTCTATTGGTCATCGTCAAAAAAATCATTCAAAATCAAGTATAAACTTAATTGGTTTTCTTTTTCATTTTCCTATTTGTTTATCTTGTTTAATAGTTAATTCAGAACTGAACTCTTCGATAACAAATTCTATTGATATCCGTCAGTCTCATAAATCTTTTTCGTCACCATCATCTTCTTATGCAGCTTCATCAAGTCATGTTACTGAGATCGACGATTATGATTGTGACCTTGATAGTGGATATAATGATGAACATGATTCACCATTATTATCATCATCAGTGGTACATTTAATTCCAACATCTCCATGGTACGATATGCCTATTGCTGATGAAATGTTTATTTGGGTAATTTTTCTTGAAAATGATTTGAAATTTTCATGTTGAAGTTTACATTTTTTAAAGGATTTCCAATTGTATCCTGATATTGCTCGTGAACTTCCATCGATCAAAACAGATAATTCATCTTTCGAATCAACCGATGATGATACATTGATGCCAATGGACTATTTTACTAAATTAAATATTGAAGAGTACTTGTAAGCATCGTTCGATTTTGAATCTTTAGGGGTGTCTTTTTTGTGAGCATTGGTATGTACAGAGTTAATTATAGTAAGAAAATTACAAATCAATTAAGCTCGAATGAGAACTGGTCTTTTATTAAATATTTATTTTTTTCTTTCTTACTAAATAAGTTATATGAAATCTTGAAAGACCTTGCTTTTTTTTGTAATTCTCCTTTTTTTGTGATACAAACCAGTTTCTGACTTTCTTTCTATTGTATATTTTACTATTCTTTGACGTTTTTTGTCTTGTATAAATATGTTATCATCTTTTCTTATGACTTTTCATTTTCGTTTAACTAACTTTCATTTCATTTTTTCATAGTACTTGTTTCTTATGTAATAATTTACTGTAAAGTATTAGTGTGGTGTATTTTCATATTCTCTTATATTTATTTTTGCGTTCGTTAGATTTTTTTTCATATGACTAAATGAAAAATATTTCTATCTTATTTATCAATGTTAATAATTGCATGTATAGTATTTTGTTTTTGATGATAATAAATAAAGGTGAATAAATATGTGACAATTCGAAAACATGAAGTAAATAAGTTTTCAGTATAGCAATATTTTTCGGTTTAAACTAAATATTTCGATCATGAAATTATCCTTATATTACACGATTTTGATATAATATATAGTGACTTTGCGAATCAAGAGTTAAGCTAGACAGAATCACCTGAAATTGGAACCGATCTCAATTGGTTTGTTCACGCTCGTAGAAGTACACAATATTAGTTGCAGGGAGTCACTTTATAGACGTTCTCGAGACAAAACTAGTAAAGCATACTAATTATATCTATCAGTTATACTTAACTATTATTTAGCAAACTAGATTATTTTCAAGTACATATGACGCTTATTGCTTATGAAGGACTCCAAAATTTCACTAAAATTCATTTTTATATTATGTACACAATGGATATTTATCCAGCTGTTCTTGCAGGGTTTTGCTGCAAGCACTTCATACATTAAATCAATAGCATCGATGAATTATACGTCATTTTTCTTCATATGTAGAACAATTCGAAGTATATATGAGCAAATGTCGAGTAGTCAAGCGCGCTTTCAAATGGCTTGAAAACTGAGTATGAGAATAACATAGAAAAGAAATAAATACATAAATTTACTTTCAAATTACTCTCTCTTTGAATTATTTATTTTTTGTTTCAATGAAATTCTTTTTCCAGATCCTCATATATTCATGATAAATTGATAAAAATTTCGTTTCTATATTGTACCAACGGAGATAACATAATAATAAACGTTTTCTAATTTCTTTGAACAAACTTGTTGTTTGTAACTGGTGTAGTCCAATTTCAACAGCATCGCAAGCTGCACATAAAACAGCTTTTGTACTTTATTTCTTTTAAACAAATCTCAATGAATGAACGTAACATAAATCATCATATTCAATTTTAATAGTTATATTGTTGTTTTCTTCGTTATGCTAATTACTTTTGAAGAGGATATCGACGACATCAATTTAATATACGCATGTCAAAGAGAAAAAAAACAATGATCGTAAAAAAGATTCATAGTAATAAATATGTATTCGAATATATAAGATCTATTTGACTCGTGAAAATTTTAAAAGGCAATTACATTCTACATTGTCGAAGAAATAGTTCATTTAATTGAATGATCATATTTTTTTATTTTACAAAATTTGAAGTTGATCATTAATACAGAAAATCACATAAGTATTTGTTTAAGTTGGAAGCATTGATTCTGTTTTCACTTGGTAGCACAAATGCTATCAAAATATTTATACGAGTTTCAATTTGAAAACGAATAATAATATGGAGTACAACAATAGATTTTTCATTATTCTAAGTTTGATATGAGAAAACAAGAAAGCTATAATTGAGTGAATTAAGTTGTAAAACAAAAATACGACATAGAAAATTATTTCAGCTGTAGGCTTCATTAATTTACAGTTTAGAATTCTGTGAAATAGAAATCTTTTTGATTGAACATCTTAATTAAACCTGTCATTATTCAATGAATTCAAAACCTAACGTAGAAACTTGTCTTTTATTTCCAAGACATCATTCCTTGAACTTGTAAATAGGGTGCTAAGTCATCCCGTCTCATACTAATGTTTGTTTTAGTTTTCAATCATCTAATCTTGCTTAGATTTTCAAAGGAAGTGTATTTTGGGCTAAGTATTTCACAGTAAAATTTATAGTTCAAAATATTGAGTTTATCGAAATTTTACTTTTCGTGCTTTTCAAATTTCTCTGCCTTTTCAAACGGTAGAAGGTTCGGGTTAGCTTTATTTTAAGCTTATCTCATAAGGCATGACAAGAATACAATATCTACATTGAGAAAATTATGCCTCATGAGATACTAACGTAAGTCTAGAATTCAAAACGTTACCTATATTAGATTGTAGAGCTAATCAATGTGTTCATTTTGACAGTAATCCAAGTTCTATAGCGTTTAGAATTTTAGAAATACGAACATATTAAAAAGAAAAATTCTATTGTGAGAAAAAAAAGAAAATGATGTTTTCCAAGTATGATTCAAGACTTTTTCTACAATAAAATAGTGTATAGAGAATTTTCGAATAAACTGTTCGTAGATCATTGATTAGAACAAATTGAATAAACCTATACAAACATATTTGGCGAAGCGTTTTGTTTGTTCTATTTATACGGTTGTGTAATGTCCATCATCAAATCAAAGTTTCCAACATGTTTCTTTTTTTTTTATTATAGAATAGATATCAGGGTTTCAGAAAAATTCGTATAGTTTTCTCAAAATTTATCATAAAATAGCTAAATTAAAGTATGTTCGATAGAGCAAAGTGTTGGTTATCGAACACACTGTCAATCACAAAATCGGAGAATTTGAGGAAAGTTAGTCTTTAAGAGAATTTTATTTCTCTACAATTTAGAAGTCATAACAAATAAAAACGAGTCAATTTATTTTTCAATATATTAACTTCGCTAACTTTTGGAACTAAACACAATGTATTACATTTTCAGATCAGAAATATCAAGGTCAAGAATATCTCGAAGTTACTAGATATACATTTATTTTTTTTATCTCATTTCTTATTATTGAATAACTGTTCATTGGTTTCTAATGAGCTCTTTCATTTAGCCTTGCATTCCAGTGAAATCAAACAAACTTCCATAATAAAAGAAGACAAATAGTCGAATTGCGACGTGTAACGATAACTATAATGCTATTCAAACAAGCCAATATGTGTAATAGAACAGAAGTTTGCAAATATGGATTAAGACGTTCTAATCCCATTGAGATGTAATTAAATAATTTTAATTGCTATTTTAATTAAAAAAAAAGCTTTCTCGTTTGGTCAGATCAGTTTTACATTGGAATTTAGTTAAAATAAAACTACAGAATATGATGTTGTCTTAAAAGTAAGAAGAAAAATAACAACTTGTAATTACATACGGATAACAAGCAAAACATATGTTCCTTAGTAAATGATTTGCAGACGGTTAACGACGTAAGTAATCGAGGTATTTACTTTCATATTGATTCATTGATACGTCATTCGAAAGATTACAGGAAGCTATAGAAAAAAATCTTCAAAGCATTGAGCACATAATACACTATTAAATATATTCTTGAATACTCGTTACTTTTTTTAAAGAAATGCAGTCGATACTTATCGGAACAACTCTCAAGGTTTCAATGAAAACGTAGATATGTTTCTTCCGATGTTTAGCTTTAAAAAAAGACTAACAACGATTTATGTTTTTGCTAAAATTTGTAGGATTATTGATTTGCTATTAAATCTAATTAAATTTTTGGTTTGCTTGGAAACGATTGACATTCAATAAAAAAAAAACTTCAATGTAACAGTTGTGGCTCATTGCTAATAGGTCATAGACACAAATTTTTTCAAACCTTTTCTTATCTAAATATGATCTAACAAATGAAGTATGAATGAACCAAGATGAAGCTAGCGGCACATCAGTTATTTGTTTTTATACATGGTTCGTGTCTGTGCTTTTTTCTATATCTGCTTCATGTACTTATCTCATATAAAAGTCTATAGTTCAAAGGAAACTTTTGTTACTGCTTTATTAGAAATTTACCGACACATTTGCATATGTCTTTTAAGGTAATAATAATAATCAAACGAATGTCTATAGTATGACCTTTCTCAGCATAATATTTAAAAGTAAAATCGACATGCATTAGAGATTAGCGATCGTTCGCTATGATTCATTTCTTTTCTACTTACTAAGTTGATGCTGTAGTTAGCATATGAAAATATTTCTTTCAAATAATCTGTGTATTTTATTCGTTCTGCTAATTTTGCATCGAAAATATTATAATACTAATGCATTGAAATAATGAATTGAAAAAGTTTTTTGATTCATTTTTATTTTTTTCTTCAAAACATAGTACATGAAAAAAAACATAATTCTGTTGAGAACATGTTCTGCATTTATTTATAAAAAAATTAGTATAATTCGAGCATGCTTTTTCTTCTTATCGAAGTTTTCGAAAAAATGATTTTGCCTCTATGAAATTCTACTAACAAGAATAGGAAAAGTTTGTTGTTTGACACTAATCTTCTTAGACTAAAAAGCTTTACGGTTTTTATTTTGCTTCAGCTCACTGTCACCACTTGGGTGCTGTCTATTTAAAATTGAGCTTATTAGCATATTATTTTTGAATATATATTCGGTTCCTACTGCTAGAAAAATGGTAGACATATAAATAAATAAACTTGTCTTAGTCATTATATCACTTTTTCTGATAATAAGAAGGCCTATTTTTATATTATTAACAATTTATTTAAAAAAAAAGGCTATTTGAGATATCTATTTATAGAAAAAAAGCCAGCCAATATTTTGAATAATAAAATGCGTAATAAATATTAAAGTATATTATTTCTCTTGAGACTGTTTAAATCAAATACACACACTTAAACAAAATTATTCTGTCATTTTCTCTCAACATGGAAGTGTATCGAGTGCTAGAAAACAATGTTTCTATACTATTTATATATAAAGAGAGAGAGAGGGGGAGAGGGAGACAGATTTGTTTTGTTTCAAAAAAAAGAAACATCTATAAATACAACTACTGATTTATCCATATGTTGATATATTTACATATTCGTTGTTCTTTGAAAAATTTATGATATACTAAAGAAAAAGAAACGCATAACATCAATTTATAAAAATCCATTTGAATAACCAAAAAAAACACGCATCAACAAGCAGCACAGATTTGTACATAGTACAAATCAATTACAACAAAATTCAGAGCCAATTTATGACAGAACAACAACGAAAATTCTTGATCGAACATAAATGTAACCATATAAGGAAAAACCAGAATATAAGTAAATATATAGTTGTAATATAGAAACTTGTTTGAGTTGAATAAGCAAGATAAAATTAGAGAAGCGTTAAAATGATTATGCTGAATAGAGATCGTGAGACGAACTAAAAAACGGACAATATTGAAAAAGAGAAAAGAAAAAAACGAAGCAATTTCTAATAATATCTATATAAATATGTATATACATAATTGATCAAGCTTTTCTTAAGAAAAAGAGACGAGCTCAATGTCAATATTTGTTCTCGTCCTTTTTTCTTCCTTTACTGGTCAACATTACCATAACATACGTATAAATTTTTTGACAGCCAACTGTGAGATGAGAAAGCAAGCAAATATAGGGATGCAAACAAATGCATGCATACACATCACAAGTTTATATTTTCACGGGGATATATGAATTTGATCTGTGTTTTGTATTAATCTTTCTACTGTACCGCCTAGTTTTTTTTTCGTTAGTATAGTATTAGATATAAGTAATTATATAAAATTCTTTTCTTTCAGCTTAGCTGTTTTATATTACATACTATATATCACGTGACTGCAGCTGTGAGTTGATGCAAATTTAGTTCTCATGCATATATGTATATAGAGTTCTACTTGTTGATTCTTTTATGTTGATGAAAGAATAAAGATAATGAAACACAGATTATTTGAAAGAAATATTTTCATATGCTAACTACAGCATCAACTTAGTAAGTAGAAAAGAAATGAATCATAGCGAACGATCGCTAATCTCTAATGCATGTCGATTTTACTTTTNCCCCCCCCCCCCCCCCCCCCCCCCCCCCCCCCCCCCCCCCCCCCCCCCCCCCCCCCCCCCCCCCCCCCCCCCCCCCCCCCCCCCCCCCCCCCCCCCCCCCCCAATCATGCAAACATAGATTCGAGCAAGAAAGTGACACGGAAGAGAATATGTACAAAACATCTCTATTTGTATATAAATATGTATCTAGAAGCGACGCGAATTCATGTCCATTTCTTTGAGATACCTTCGATGGCCAAGATCGATACGATAGATAATAAATAATATAAACGCAAGAAAATAACCACCAGTTGAGCCAACAGCAATCCAAGTTGAAAAACCAATATTGTCACGGCTAATGGTTGAATTTACATCACGATTCATGGTAATCATTACTACCCATATGGTGGCACTTATTGCAACTAGAATTTCAATAATAAATAAGAGAAATGATTTCAATAGGTATGAATGGCTAAAAGTCATGAAGTTGACTTACAAATTAATAATGTTAATGCAGCTAAAACTGATACGAAATGAGGAACAAGACGTCGACGACGAATATAGAGATAAGCACCAGCAAGCCAAAGAAGAATAATTGATAGCGACGAAGCTATAATTGCTAATGCTGCGCATGCAACAGCGTACGCTAAAAAATGATTTCAAATGATGAAAGTAACATAGTTGACTGTAGAAACAAAATTGGCAAAGATATGTGCTCAATACATACGTGGTCGACAAGTAGCTACTGAATCTTTATAGATAAGAATCCAATCGCGGCATACTGAATCGTTGCGGCCTTGATCAACATAAAAAATTCCACGAAAATTTGTTTCACTAGGACTTGTTAGAGAATTGGGATAGATCCATTTTGGTGTTAGAATAGCGACAATGAATGCAATTGTACTTGATACAGCTATTAAATAACCAACAAAGAATAAAGCCATTTTATGTGTTATTTGTTTATTTATTTTTTAATCTGAAATGAAATCGTCAAGAACATCGAAGACATTCATAAGAGAATACATGTCAATAGATGGTATTTTTTTTTGTATGTAACCTATATAAATGAAGAGAGAAAGAGAAAGAAAAAAATATCAAATCCATCTACATAAGAAAGGTGAGATCCGATAACGGAGATGTAATTGTCAATTAGTCAAAAAGAAAGAAGAAAGAAAGAAATAATCAGAAGTTAAAATATCAATCACTCTTCACTACATCGTCTTTTTTTATAGTTAATGTTTTACGTATTCATTCTCTCATACATTCACTTGAACGATTGAATCAACAAGTCTACTAACGGTACCCGATCGATTATTACGCATATATACATGTCCGACAAGAGTACACTGAACAACAGGAATTCTTTTTTTCTCTCTAAGTGAACGCACATTCACACACGGACGGGCATGCGCATCGCTGAATGTGAAAAAAAAATGAGAAACAACTAACGTAAGATATATGTCCTTCGCACTTCTTCTCAAGCAAATATAGTTTTAATAAAATAGAAAGAAAACGAAGAAGATTATATATAACTATCTTAAATCTATCTTCATTAGAAAATGAGAGGAAAAAAGAAACTTCAATAAAAATCTTCTTTTCTCATGTTTTTTTTCCGGCAAAAAAAGAAAAAAATGTGTTTTTATACGTCTCTTTTTTTTATTATGATTCAATAAGTTGAAAATCGAACTAATTTTCATTGAAAACAATATTTTATCTGAACAACAATAAATTGAATTAATTTACATACATCTAAACTCAAAGAAATACAATGTACAGCCAAAAAATATTGTGTCTATATGCATCATACCTGTTAGACTAGAATATCGAATGAACCATAAATATTTTTACGCAAATAGAAGAAAAATGAGGATTATTTTAACCGTAAGAAAAAAGAATACAACGGCACTTTACCATGTAGCTAGGTCGACGATACTTACATCACAAATTACCTCAAGAAATATTCTCTGATTCTGTCGTCATCTTGGATTTGTATGCGTGTCAGCTTGAAAAGAGAAATAAAAACTCCGTATTCATAAACGTTAAGAGCCACAGCTGCTTGATAAAAAAATTCGACAGCATTGGCCAGGCAAAATCATTCGCTTTCATACCCGTCAAATAAAAGTATAATATCATACTACAAATAATCTAAACGATTTTATTTTTATGTATTTTAACTCATTCTAAAAACGCATCTTTACGGAATAGAGAGCTACACACTTCAAAAATCAAAAGCGACGCATGACAAGCTCCATACAAGGAATAAAAAATTCCAAGGTTATCAAAGCCATCTTCAGATGAGTATCTCAATCATATATTATTATATACGTGTGCAAAAGAAAAAATCCCTTGAACATACACACAAGTAATGATTAACATTAGTGTTGTCTCGTGTCTAGTAAATAAGTCTTTTTTTTTGTCTTTGATATACATAAATTTACCTGTCATAGACATAGACATTGCTACAACAAATTCAAGACAAGCGAAAGCTCATCACCTTATTTCATTCTATGTGTCATCAAACAAAAACACTAGAATCTATTAATTTTATTATTACTTTCTTTTTGCTTGTTCTAAATTAATTCATGCGACAAAGGCTCAAGAAGGATAACAATAATTCTCTATAGGGTACTTGCACGTATACTTTGAATATCAACACAAATTGTTTATATATACATACATATATACATACATACATGAGTATGGCAAGTTTGAAAAGATAAAGTGAGAGCACACATACACACACATATCTAATGGATTGCAAACGTGTGTATACACACCCCGTTGTAAAATCAATTGAATTTGTGTGAATAGAGAGGCGCAGACATCGACATATCGATTGAAAATAAGTGAGCAATTACATTTGTGTGTGTATTGATAGATAATGGCATATAGGGTCATTTGTCTACACGAGTTTCCTAGTATAAATTCGATAAAAGCAGCAAGCACAAAAAGAGTTGATAAAAAAAACTGAAGAAATATTTCAAGAACGCAATGTTGAACATAGAAAAAATATCATTGATATTTATATTATGCCATTGCTCATGGTAATTTTTATACAGATCATGTTGTGATAAACATGGTATGTAGAATGAAAAAAAAAGAAGGAGATCGATTTTGAGCTTTACAAATTGCATGTTCGAAAGTAAATGTATATATGTATGCAAGTTAGTTCGATACAAAGGATTATAATTTAATATGAATGAACTAGCAAGCATAAAAAAGAAAGAGAAGGTTAGTTCGTTTTTTTTCATTTTTTCTTTCTTTAAGACAATCAAATAAATATATATATATATAACATGAAATGGTGACATATTCATCAAGCGTCAAGGCGAAAAAGGATCAAGAAACCTTACACGCATTGATAGAAAACTATGGACGCGTCAGTTCAAACGTTACTAAGTCGTCATAGAAAGAAAACGATATTAAACTAAAATTGATTTTGCTTCTGAAATAAAACATTACCGGTTGGATGTATGAATGAATGATCTTTTTCATCATGCAAACAAATTATAGTCATACCGGATGAATTTCTCAGGAAGTTGATGTTGCTATGTGCGACAAATAGAACTAAACCAATATTTTATTTCTTTTTTTTGCCGTCGTTTAATATTTTTTTTTCTATGAAGTTTTGTGCGTATTATGAGCTTAACTTTGAAAATCGGGAAGGTCACAAATTATGCTTTGTCTATTGAAAAGTATTCACTTTTTCTCAACACTAACCTTCTCTCATGTTGATATCAGTCAAGAAGAAAAAAAATGACGCATTTAGACATATTTTAAAGACGCCAACGAACAAAAGGTTGGTGTCTTTTTTTCCACTTGACATGAAGAGGAGAAGAAAAAGAAAAAAAAATGAATTTATTATATTGTAGCAAATCTACACACATAGGTGCGATATGCCATAATGCTCAACTCACATCGTATAACACCCACCCACCTACGCATACGCCTTTAACGCAATATTGAGGATGCTATTCGGACAAAGATATACGATTACTTTTTTGTATCACGACAAACAGACAAATAAACAAATAGGCAAGTTTTGTTTTTATCCTTCAATTGTCTCATAAATTTACACATATGAAAGTTATTTATTATCTGATTTGCACTTACACTGACGTAAATAAGTCGAAGAAAAGAAAAAAATATATATAATCAACTTTACTGGATTTTACGTCGATGGTTGATGATGTTAATACGATTTATATGTACGTCGGTGCACCTTTTTTTTTTTGTTAACACGACTGAATGTAAACGACCAGTGGTGGAAAAAGAGTTTAATGTTACATACTGGCATGCTCGTTTGAAAAGTGAAAAGGAATCGACATATAAAAGTATTCATCAAGAGAAAAAAGTGAGCAAGAGAGAGAGAAAGAAAGAAAGAGAGAGAGAGAGAGAGAGAGAGAGAGACACACACACAGCACAGTAATAGGGCCAAAAGGACAACACGCAATCTAATTGTACCACTTTGTACTGACGTTTTTTCTACTTATTCTTAGCTCACGCCTAATCATTATTTGGGAGCTGAGGAAGCTACTGAAAAATATATGAAAAAATTATTAGAACTTATACTATACAAAAAAAGAAACTTTATTCTCAGATACAACTAGAGAAAATAACTAAAAAGTTATATGAAATTTTCTCTGTAATAATTGTCAAAAGAAAAAATGAAAAATCTACTGCTTATCTCTATATTTAATTTCAACCAAATGAATAATGATTGCCATCTGCCATTGCCAGTTGATATCCATGGTGATGCTTATCTCTAGATTGAAAATATGTTCGATTGAGACACGTGTATTTATATACGAATATTGCACACAAACCTTGCCGATCGACTGTGTCTGATATACAACGACAGACAAGGAGAATATAAATGTCAATTGAAAATAACAAATTAGTGTTTATCACTGTTCTTTTTGCACATTTCATTTTGGTCTTTTTTTTGATTTTCGAGTGGTGTGTACAATCTTACCGGATTACTATTTATTAGATTTACATCAAATTTTCTTTTGGACAAAATGTATTTTGTTTTCTCAAGAAAAATATTATCTTTTAATCTTTTATTGATAAATAGAAGAATAATTCAATTTTTATAAGCAGCTTAATATCAATCGAGTGCAATTTGTTTTTCACTTCATTACAATCAATAAAAGAAATGAAATTTTTCTTCTACTACAACATATTTTAGGTTTCTCATTAAATAAAAGTCAACATAATCAATTGGTCTGGTATAATCATTGAATGGAATCTTATTAATTTTGTTTAATATTAATGATTTGAAACACGTATATCATGTGTCTAAGAAGACATAACTATTGCACTCTACGTAATAGCTATTTTATCTTAATCATTGATTTATTCTGAATGGCGAAACAGTCACTTTGCTTGCATTTATATTAAAATTATGTTCATCGGTATCATGAAATATAGAAAAGTATTAGAACAGTCTTATCAATGACTATAATATTTTAATCATACAGGTATTGAGTGCCTAGACATTATTCTCTTCTTTTTTTTACAATTTGTAAAAAATTATTTAGAAATTCAAATAAAACTTGTAGTAAAAATTTCATAGGTACTTTTATAAATGCTCATCAATTTCAATTCTAATTGATATGCACCCTTTGACTCCATTAAACTTCACTTGGATGTATAAATAATAGTGCTTATTTTTTTTCTCCACAGGGATTCAAAAAATAATTACTATAAAATAATATTGATTAGAAAAATAACAACTGAAGTATCAAACATTTAACATCCTATTAAATAGTAACTATTTATACCAATGATAACTTCATGTGTTAATAATACTTTGTTTATCAATTGTGGTATTATTTTCAGTTGAATTAAACTTCATCATGTGAGAACTTTCTTTGTATGTGACTAAAATTTATCTAGAAAAAGAGTCATTACAATTTTTTACTATGTCCGTTAACTAACAATGTCATCAAGTAAAAGAAAAATACGCTTTACTGAAATAATTTTTTCTTTTTTATGGAGAGTTTTTGATTATCATTACTATCACAAGTCTTACATCCAGAAATCATTCATGATATTATAATCATAATATGAATATGTTCTTTTAGAATTTAGGCTTTGCTAATTGTCTACCTTAGAATCAGGGTTGCCACCTGATGAAGTCCAAAAAGCGGAAAATAGCGGAAAGAAAAACAGAAAAAGCGGGAAAAAAGCGGAAGCTTATATTGTTGCAGATTTGTGGTGCTTCTGAGAATATTAGGCATTTTTTTTTCATATTTGTTGGATTTCTTTTTATTTCATCAAAATTTCAAAACATAAAAGAATAATGGCTCACGGTATTTGTGAACAATTAGAATTGATTCAATAATATCAAATATTATTCTGTACGTAGTGTTTGATATGCAAGACGTTTTATACGAAAAAGCGGAACAGCGGAAAAATAGCGGAAAAAAATTGAAAAAGCGGAAACTTTCCGCAAATAGCGGAAGAGGTGGCAACCCTGCTTAGAATTCATCTCATATAGATTAATGAACATAACACACTGATTAATACCAACAATATATTTGAGAATCATTTTACAAAAACAAAAATGAGTCTTATTTTAAAAAAATGCATGTGGCACAGATCGTTTTTATAATTAAACATTTGATTGATATGACCGATAGCAATATTATAACATAGTATATAAATCAATAAAACAATGAACTTACTCTTGTCAATCGCAGATTGGAATTAACGATATTGTACAGAGAAACTCTTAAAAGCTGTCTATCATAAAGAATATTTAATGATTCATCTTTACTTTCATTCTCTACAGGAAATTAGATTTAATACATTAACAACTATATTAAATATAACCCTTCAAATAAAATCCCTCTCTCACTTATCTTTAAGTTGTATACGTGACGTTCTATATTTTATGAATAATATAACGTATCAATTACTTTTCACAAATATCTTATGTAAATCATTATTTATGCTCGTCGAAGAATGTTATAGGGTAATGGATTCAAAAACTGGGATAAACGTGTTATGATGATGAAAATTCATCTGAAATTCTTATGAATAGTCATTAAAAATTTCATCATTTACTATTTCTTTTCACTATTCATTATAAATGCATCAAGATTCGTGAATTTCTCGATAATATTTTATTTTCGACAAAACATTATAATGATTCAATATATATTTTTATTCAGAAAATAAAGATTATAACTTTTGATCAGAAGACACTACGTTAGAGTAATGCTTATTAGAATAAATAACGTCTACAGATGAGTGCTAAGAAGCAGAAGAAGTGAGATTTTTAATTATTGTTGTTCTAATCATGTTCATTATTTCCAAAATGCTTGAATTTCATGTAATTTCTTATTGTTTGTTTCAGGCATCTGAAATAAATCCAAAGAAACAAAAAAGAAAGAAACAATAACAATAGGAATCTATTTTACTTTAAAGAAAAGTAGTGTAAATGCCAATGCCACGAAAAAAGAAAAAACGAGAAATACATAACCTTCAATCGCTGATTGAAGAGGTAAGAAAAGTAAAGTAACCAAAAAGCTACAAAACCAATTCTGAAAAAAAAAGCTGTTAGCGTAGTCCCTGTCGGATTAAAATGTGAAACACGATGAAACTCCTTTGCTGGAATCCGTCAATCACGGTCAGTGATGGTCTGTGAAGCTTCTCTGTTACGGCCTGTATAATGATGTATGGAGTCTCTCGAAACCATTATAAACCGTCACAGAGAACTCAGAAACCACCACAGACCGTTACAGAGAATTCAGAAATCATCACAGACCGTTACAGAGAACTGAAAAACCATGACAGATCGTTAAAGAGAAAATAATTAATTAAGCAAGTATCTAATTAATTAATTTCTCTGTAACGGTCTGTGAGGGGGGGGTCCAAATTTTTACCCTATATACTTCAACACTCCTTTCAGATCGTGTTTCACAAAATTAAAATAAGTAATTATTACTAATAACACTGATAATAATAATACATACGATAAACATTGCTAGTGAAAGTCCAGCAGCACGTGCTTCAACAGCAAAAACTTCATTTGAATACACATAAGGAATGGGCCCAAGACCGATTGCAAATAAAATAATAAAGATAAGAATAAATACAATACTGACGATTGCCAATGCTTCTTTCTTATGTTCTGGATTATTGGCCTAAAAATTTTTATGCAAATTAAAATATATATTTTAAAAACAAATCATTTTGTATTTTTTGAATTTACATTTAAAACAATTAATATTGTAAGACCAATCATGACAATTATAATACTAGCCAATGGCCAAATAATCAATGGACGACGACCCAATATTTCAATAAGTTTCAAAGCAACAATAGTTGCAATAAGATTAATTACACCTGTTGCTAATATGCCCCAAAATACTTTTTCTTCACGAAGACCAGCTACTGAAAACATATCACCAGAGTAGAAAAAGACCTTGGAAGTAAAATATTCACATGTACATGTGAAGAAATATTTGTTTTTGTCTTACAGCATTGATTCCTGATAATTGTTGAATACCATTTAATACTAAACTTGTGATTAATGGCCATCGAAATTCATTTAGTCTAAGTACTTTACTAATTTCTAGATTTTCTTTATTAGCTGCTGATTCTTCTTCTTGAATTTCAACTAGTTCAGCTTCAATATTATTACTTTGCCTTAATTTACGTAGTGTTTTTGAAGCTTCATTCTGTTTTTGTTCTTGTACAAGCCATCGAGGACTTTCAGGCAGTATCCAAATTAATATAGAACCAATTAAAGCTAATAAACCAACCCATGACATACCCCAATTCCAAGCACTAAATTATCATAGATATTCTTTTATGCTTCTCATTAAACGAAAATCATACTTATGTCGTCCTAGTATCCATGGTAAACCAATAATTTGTCCAACAAGAATACCTATGACAATTGCTAATTGATGACAAGAACCTACAGTACCTCGTAGTGCTCGAGGACTTATTTCATTTAAATAAGATGTTGATACTACACAACACATGCCTAACATGAATCAGAAACACAATCAAATACATTATGGATAGACAAAATGTAAACATTTATATACCAGCAGAAAATCCGGAAAGAAATCGAGAAATATAGAAAAATGCTATAGCTACATCTTTATTTTTTATAGCTTTATCTATAGATTCTTGATCGGGATCATTTATTTCGTATCCATGATATATATATAATGTAATAATCATAAATATCGATGCTACTATTTGAAATGGCATACTTGCAAAAATAGCATTTCGTCTAAATTTAATTTTTTTTTGAACACAATAAAAAACGTTTTTTAATTACTGAAGTAATACAACTAACCTTGACAAACATCTGTACCAATATTGTCCCGAATAAGCACCAATAAAGCCTCCAATAACAAATAAAACATTATGAAGTGAATCTTTTAATCGCTGACCAATAAGATTTTTCTTCAATATTTCAGGAAGATAGTAATAACCATTAGTATTTTTTGTTGTATCATTATAAACACAATACCACCATTTACGTGCAATCCATTGTGATGTACTGCCTTCTTTTTGACATGGGAATGGATGACCACGTGTCCATGGTACAATAAACTAAACTTTAAAACTATAATATAATTTTAAAATAAGCGCAATTTTAAACATACCCCATTATATAAATTAGGACCTCCGATATTAACTCCCATGACAAAACTAGTAGATAGTGAAACAACAATGACAGACATTAACAATGAGGATGTCCATTTCTATGTAGATTATAATAATAATAATAATTTTACAATCAGTATTCTTCATCGAAGACGTACGAGCCAAAAAAAATTAGCAAAAATTGAAAAGTTGAAAATGAAAAAACCTGATTAATCATTTCGTCGCCAACGTCAACTGTGGAAATTCCAACAGTACTTTCTGATGGTATTTGTGTTTGTAATGGAGTTATTTCATCATTGACAGTACTCTCATCTTTGGTACTTGACATTGTTAAATTTAATAATTAAATAACAAGAAAAGTAGTCAATTTTATTTATTCAATATAGATATATTCAGATTGATTAATACAACGCGACATTTTCGGTATAAGGCTTTTCGAATTAGAGTTACATAAGACATATATTTAGCGCGAAAGAATTTAATTAGAAATCTGTGTCTACATTGTGTCTTTCTAGAATTAAAGATTTTTATTGAATAAAAACATTCACTTTATTCTGACGCTTATTCACATCATAGTAAGTAGATGATTTCGATGTTTTTACTGTAAAACTTTCCACGTGAATTTTTGGTTTACTAAAAAAGTAGTCGTTCGTTTATACAAATAACATATAAGTTATTTACTCTTTATCTGTCTCAGAATAGTACTAGTCTTAACAAATATATCACAGGTACCATACTAAATCAAGAGAAGAGAAGACAAGTGAAATGCATTGATATTGTTCGTGAGTGCGTACTTTAGGTGAGTGTAAACAAGTCACTCTTTTTCTTTAGATACCACATATCGTAACATCAGTTATGCCAAATCTATTCCGTAAAAATTAGCAATTTAACTCTTAAGATATTTTCTTTATTACACTTATTGAGAGAAAACTATAAGAATTCTGTTGCATGTATGTATCAATTTTAGTAATTTGTTGAAAATGTTTTGGAACCATAATTATTTTCAAATAGAGCAATGAAGATTAACGGAGTTTCAGTTCAACAATTTATACTCGCTCAACTTTAAATAATTATAAACAGACATTCTGAAAGTCAAATAAATTTATAAATAATTTGTATAAAATAATTGTATCTATTATCAATTTTTACTTGAATTCCATATGATTATTTAGTTCAAGTAGAAATCCTGAAAAATCTTCCAATTTCATTTATAGCACCATTAAAAAATCAAAAAATAAGTTTTAAAACTATAATAAAAATATAAAATTATTTTCATTGTACAAGCTAAATCTAATTTGTCCTCCTAACATATGTGACATACAAAGACCGTGGTACAGTGAAAAAAAAAACTTTACGCTTTTTTTTACAGGGCAACACCACCGATTATAATCGATTTTTATGCTATGCACACCACTGTCGTTCTGATGATTAACATCATGGAGAGGCAGTTTTAAAAGGCTTTATCCATTGGTCTACCATCAAATGTGATTGTCTATCTAATCGGATCAATGGACATTATGTATAATCAGCCTAAAAAGGAAAACGCCTGAGTCCTGGTCTGACACATATTTAATAAAGAACAAAAAAAATATTCTGCACATGTTTCTAGAGAAAAGAATTGATCCTTTTTTCATTTTATTGTAAATAGAAACCATAGAACAGGTTTCACGGAAATATCATATAGCTATACATCTATGTTTCTCGGTTTCATGTGATCGATCTGCTATTTCCTCCATTTTTTACGTGCTGTTCCGTTTGTGTCACCTCATCTCCCGGTTAATTTTATATTCATCTATATTGTTACGAGTTTGAAAGAAGAGAGAGAAATTTTATTCCAGCTCCTTTATTCTCTATCGCAATTATCGTCTTCATTTTCTCTTTGTATGACAACCGTGTATTTTTTTTAAAGAAAAACGACCGACAGGCAAGCAATATTCATTATTACTCAACGAAGTCTTTCTCTTTACGTCAAGCACATACATTTACATTATGAAATTTTACTACGTTCTGCACAAGAGAGAAAGAGAAAAATGAGAGAGAGAGAGAGAAAGATTTGAAATCTTGAAGACAACAAAAAAGAGAGAGAATAAAAGAGTGAATAAAGAAAGTTACAAGTGTTCCTTTTTCAAACACTTTATCGTTGTCACCGTCGTCGTTCTCCTTGCTGCCCATGAATAAAGTTGCTTAGCACCGTCTTGTCGTGTCGCAAGGAATCAGTTTCTATTTGAAGAAGCACATATAAAACATACATATACACACACAGCTTGTTCCGGCAGAACAATCATCATTCTATTCTTTTCTTTTTCTCTCTTGTTTTGTTAGTATGTTAACGGTACGTTATTTCAAAGAAGATTATAATAAAACGCTTTGATGACAAACTAACAAAGAATATTTCCGAATGAGTCGCAAACAGAGCATAGTGATAAAGATAGTAAGGTAAACCTTGCTTCATCGGTTGATATTACCTACGAATATGATAAGCAATTTACATAAGAGCTGCTTATGATAAGTGTCACTCTCTTTTTCTCTTTTCTTCACTAAAAAAGAACCTCTTATATTTCACATTAAGTTAAATTATTTCCTCATCGTCAAATTTTCTTTACTAGAAAAAAAGAGAAGCTAAAAAAATTCAACCTGACACTTTCTTTTTTCTTTTTTTTTGTTACTATATGTGCTTTTATTTCAGATTCCATCATGTAGTTTATAAGCCATCATTTAATTCCTCTTTCATAGAGGAAATAAATGATTTGATTCTGATTTTTATGGTATTTTATCGGCGTGGTACTGTTTGTTGTCAATTATTACAAAACAATAATATTGTTTTGTCGAAAAACCAATTTCTCGCCAGTATTCCGTCCAATCAAAAGAAATTGATCTTGACGAATTATGATTTAATATCAATTTCTTAAAACTTTCTTTATTTCTGTTTTTGTTTCGATTTTTCATTTGTTTGATGTTTTTCGATTTGATTTTACGTTTGATTTTAATGTTTGTTGTATTGTTTGAAATATGTTCGAGCAAAAGCCATCAAAGCAGCGCACCTCTGTGATATGCATTGTACAGAAAAAAAGATGTGTTTGTGTATGTGTTTATCTTTATTAAAACAATCCGAAGACAAAAAAAACGAAATTACAACTATATTTGTTTCTAATTATTCTAATACAACGGTTTTAATTCTTTTAACCAAGTGGGAATATAACGTTCAGGAAAACGTTTTTCATTTATAACTCGAAGATAGTTTTCACCTTGTTCATTATATCTCGTCCAATATTCCCATGTATTCTTATCAAGTTGTTCAATATCTATTTTATCTAATTTTTCTAAACCAAATAACCAATCTGGATAAACTGTATCGACTTTAATTTCTACCGATTCTTGATCTTTTTTATAATTAAGACCACAACAATATTTAACTAGTTTTTCTGGATCCGTTTCAGCATCAAGATATTGTTGAATTGTTGTCGTTATTACAGCACCTTTCTCTATTCAGAAGTAGAATTACTATTATTTTAGTCAGAAAAAGAAAAGACCAGTTTACTTACTAGCTATGCCACCACCAAGTTTTAGTGCAGCGCCTGCTGGACCTGTAGCAGTTTTGGTTACAGCATAATTACGACGAGATATTGTAGAAATCGACGGTATACGAAAATTTTTGATACAAAACATTTATCTGGAACAGATGTTTGATAAGTGGAAGTCTCGTTTTTATTCCTGTCTAGTAATCTTCTGTTATTTTATGATGTTAACAATCAAAATATTCACAGAATAACAGTTAGAAGAACTTTACATAATATACAAACAGATATATCAATATAGATTAGCAAAAATAAACACGACTCATATCAATTCTTTTTATCTTATTAGTCCATTGAGCTCGTTGGTTCAGTTGGTACTATTGGTTCGCTTGTTGTTTGTGGTTCTATGGTCTCCGCCGTTGCTTCCATAGTTTCGTCTGTTGGTTTAAGTTCAGTTGATTCCATTTCTTCATTTGCAATTTTCGATTCATTGGATTCCATAACTTCGTCTACAAGTTTAGGCTCAGTTGCTTCCATTTCTTCGTTGGTAAGTTTCAGTTCAGTGGCTTCCATTGTTTCGCTTGCAAGCGTGGTTTCAGTGGCTTCCATTATTTCGTTTGCCAGCTTAAGCTCAGTAGAGTCCATTGTTTCGTTTACTAGCCTAGGCTCAGTAGATTCCATTGTTTCGTTTGCTAGTTTAGGCTCGGTAGATTCCATTGTTTCGTTTGCTACTTTAGGTTCAGTAGATTCGATCCCATCGTTCACAAGTTTAGGCTCAGCCGCTTCCATTTCTTCGTTTGAAAGCTTGGGTTCAGTTGCTTCCACTTCTTCGTTTGTGAGTTTAGGCTCTGTTGATTCCATTACATCATTTGCAAGTTCTGGTTCAATTGATTCCATGGTTTCGTTTGAAATTTTTGATTCAATTGGTTCAGCTGGTGTTTCATTTGCACAATTAACATTTTCCAAACTTTGGCATATTTCAATTTCATCATTCATTTCAACCATTTTCTTTTCTTCTTCAGTTAATTCAGCAAAGACAAGTTGATCAGTTGATTGTTGTTCATCCCATATAATTGGAAACGTTGTTACACGAGGTTCATCAACTGCAATATTTCGATTTAACTAAAGTAATGAATAAGAAAACATATATTTTTTTATGTTGTATTTAATCAATAATGATGTTACTTTTTCAAAATCAACTTTAACTGGTGGATTTTCTCGTAATTCCGGATCATCGTATTCAGTGAAGACATAATATCCTACACGTGCAAATTCTTGATTTCGATACAAAGCCAAAAGAAGAATAACTGATACATCAACATCACTATCATTTGGTAATTTTTTTGGATCTGGAGGTGGCGCCTATGATTTGAAAAAATGAACAATAAGGCTTATTCGTAATTTCCTAATTGGCTACGAACATTGATAGAAGCTTCTTTATAGAGATGATACGTTATTTATTGTTAGAGACAAAACATTTACTTTGTCAATTATTCTTCTATCATAGGAAAGTAAGAGATTATGAAAAATATGGGGGGGGGGGGGGGGGGCGCCCAATAAAAAAAAANCTATAAAGAAGCTTCTATCAATGTTCGTAGCCAATTAGGAAATTACGAATAAGCCTTATTGTTCATTTTTTCAAATCATAGGCGCCATTAACAAGAAATAAGTTAGTATCATCAATTCTTTTAAATACATGTTCGTGTCTAACAAAAACACCATTAATGAGGCGTATTTACTTTACAGGAAAAATATATATTAAACATACTTCAAATACAAATTTATATGTTCCTGGAGCGACAGCATCAATAACAACAACGTCAAGTACTTGATCTTGTTTATCTTCTTTTGCATCACCAACATAGACAAGTTTAAATTCAAGTTCTATAATAGAATATTTTTTTTCTTCTATTGTTGATTATCATAATGAGAAAAATATATAAAAGCCTACCTTGTGTTAATTGTTCTAAGCATTCGAATTTAATTTCAAATGTATAATTTGATAAGAATTTTGCTGGGTTATTATGAACATTGACATTACTTATCATTACTTTCACCATGTTAAATGCTTTTAAAAATAAGTGTTTACTAGCTGATTTTTTCTAAAACACAAAAAAATAAATAAATGAACGCTTTATTTCTTTTTTTTTTTAAATAAAGAAAACCAATTAAAGCAAAAAATAAATATAAAATATTCGATTTGAAATCAAAAATAAATCATTAAAAATCTACAATTTTTACTCTTTTAGCAACATTTTTTATCATCTGTTTTCCGTTTTCAGTTATTCTATGACAACCACTTAAATCAATGATTTCAATTGATGGACAAGCTTGTCCGATCAACGATAAATTATTGTCATTCATCTTTTCACATAAACTTAGATCTAAATATTTTAAACTTGGTAATGAACGTAAACCAAAACGAAATAGACGATTGGTTAATCGTATACATTGACGTAATTTAAGGGTTTTCAAACGATTTAATTTGTTGATTGAATAAAAATATTCATTAAATAATTTATGTTCAGTTAACATACGTAATATTCGTTCAGAATGTGCATCATCATCGAAACTAAAATCTTTTAAACGAAGTTTAATGCATGACGATGATAGATATGTTGGTAATTGACATTTACATAATGTTTGATGTGTAATTGTATATGTCCATATTGGTAAATCATCAATAAATTGTCGATCTATTAATGTTTCACTAAGCCATTCAATGGATTTGCCAATACCACATATTGATAAGCCAATAAATGCAAAATCATTTATATTAATATTATAGTTTATTGTTAATTCTTCCAATGACAAAAGATATTTATTGATTAATAAGATTGAACGATTTGATAATGATGAACAATTACTTAAATTCAAATGTGTTAACGATAAAACAAATGGTGATTGTGTACATAGCTGTTTAATAACATCATCTGTTGTATTTCTTGGTAATGCTAATTTTTTCAAATTTTTAAAATCATTTCTAAGTAAATGTATAATGTCTGCATCGGTTAATGGATATAATGTTTGTATATCAAGATCATTTAATTGTTTCAATGTTGATAATGATATATCTGATGATTGGTTGCACACTAAAACAATACAGATTGAAAATTATTTATAATATCTAATTTGAAATCTAGATTTTTATGGGTTAGACTGTTAGATTATTTAAATGGTAATTGGTTAGATAGAAAGAATTAAGTGAATAATCAGTAAATGAAAATTTATTTGAAGGAGAAAATAGAACATTCAATAGAGTTGCATAGTATTATCAATTATTTCAACAAAGAAATTTACATGTTACTGCAGCATTCATATTCGTAAGAGTGCTTCAAGTGTTTCGTACCATGTCTGATATAGGATAGTTTTCATCTTCTGCTAATATTTGTCTAAAATTTTCTTTTAATATTTATTTAGATAAAAAAATAATTTGATTTACTAATGTTCACAATATGACTTTTTTACTTTGTTAGATTCGATTGTCACTATTTCATTTTATAGATGGCTTCATCAAAGGGAGTGTTTTTTTCCTTCTATTTCCAGATTACTATTCACTTGCGACTAGTGCTATTTGATGAGTTATCCATTATGCTTTGTCTTTCTGTTTTTCTCTTCTCAAATTATGAAAATTTGAGAAGAGAATTTTTCGAGTTCAACCATCCAAAATCTTAACGATACTATATCGATGGATACGAAAGTCGATTAATAAGCTCAGATTTTGATAGTCGAAAATGACAAAAAATGGATTCATAGAAGACTTTTTCATAAAACACCATGACAGAGCGAAACGCATTCTGTAACAGTTGAAAAATGCTTTATCATTGATAAACATCCATCACTCTTCTGAATGTTACTCAATTAAAATACAGATGACTAATGTTTATCTACAGTTTTTTTCAATAAAATAATTTTTTATATCATTGACTAGCTCACTCAGTAAAATATATCGATGAATTTAAACTGAAATGATTTAATGTTTTTGATAGATGTAAACATTTAGAAGAGTAAAAACAAATGAATTAACTACACATGTCTATATTCGACCCAAACAAATAAATTATTATAAAGATCTTTCTAAATAGATAATTCTAGTTGTCTTTTTGACATACCTGGAAAACATATTTTTTGTTGCTGAGCTGCAGACAAATTTAATGGCGTATTTAAAAAGACACATAATTGTTTTAAATTAGATGCATATTGACTAATAGCATCAAATAGAGGCTGACAACCTGTAGGATCCAGTTTAAGACGACCAACAATTAATGTTTCCAACTTATTATCAAAAACAAGAAGAAAATGAAATAATGTTGAAACATTTAATGTTCCATCAATATGAAAATAAGTTAATTTTGGTGGACTTTGAATAAATAAACGTTTTATTTGTGTATCACAAGATAACGATGGATCAAATGATATTGCTAATGCTTTAAAACGTTCTTGATTTTGTTGAAAATATGAACAAACATTTTCAAATGTAAGAAATGTACGATTTTCATTTGTACTGATAGATGAACGTAATGGAATATCAAGTAAATGTAATGCTTCAATGTTTGGAAATGATTTCACTAGACGATTGAATGCATAATCGGATAGATGTGTATTCCCACTTAAATTAAGTTTTTTAATTGATGGATATATATTTGAATTTTGCGAAAAATTATGTGATAAAAAAAAGAATTTATAATTACTTAAGTCAAGTTTTTCTAATGATTTACAATGTGATAGTAATTCATAAAACATACGTGAATCAATTAATGATGTCGAACGTGCAAATGATAGACTAGTTAATTGATTAAAACATAAACGCAATGATTCTGATGTTTGAAGAAATGTATTAAGTTCTGTATAATTAAAACTTGATAATGATAAATGATCAATACCTTCCATTGATGTAAATTTATCAAAAAGTGTTAAACCAGCCGATGATTTTGGCGAAAGAATCATGGAATGTAAACGAGAATAAGATGAAAATGACGAAAGACGCGCATAAATTGTTCGACTTGTTAAACGTAAACATTTCCAATCTGTTAATGTTAAATGAGCCAAGATGAGATCAAAGATCTGTTAAAAGCAAAGAATAATATTCGAAAAGTTATTATTTTCATTTTAACTTACTTCAACCGGTAGCTTTTCCATTTGTTTCTCAAGTGCTTCTACCAAAAAAATTATATAGAAGAAAAAAGAAGAGAAAATAACAAATCGAAAAACTTGTGTTGATAAGAGATCATGTTTTATATTCATCGTTTATTTAATATAGAACAGAACACTTTTGTTTTTTTCTTAGTCTTTGTCTTTTGATTATTGACTCTTTTTTTTTTAATCGAAAAAAAGAAACATGCAACAAATAAGTATAACAGAAAAAAACAGTTTTCTTTAGCGATGAACCTAATAATTAACATGTTCGAAAGTATACAAGAGACAAAAATGATATAACACACAAGCACATATAGAATATATATATATATATATATTTCTCTTTTTTTTTCTAACAAAAAAAAATAAATGTTAATGACACCATGGAGATTATATACAAATACGACAACAAGATTAGACACTATTTATTTCCAGTTGATTTGATGCCAGAAGTAACATTTTGAAATAATGAAAATCTATTCAAATGAAAGTATCAGCAAATTTTTTTTCTAATTTATAAGTATTCATTAAAGTAACTTACGCTTCAAAATCAAGCTTTTGTTTTGATATACCACTTAAAGCGAATTCTTCACTAACAATGGGTACACCTTTCTTACATAATTCTTCGTATTCATTTTTATGCAATTGGGCAACAATGCAAACTAAATCTTTTCCTGGTTTGCTGAAATTAATTTTGTCGACAAATTTTCCACCAGCTGCTTCAATTATATCTTTCAAATCATCATAAGGTGGCGATGTATTTTGAGTACAAAAAATTTTATAATTTTCAAATATTGGATGCTGTTTAGCTAAACGGACACTTTCACGTAATTGAAAGCCGTAACGGGCTTCAGCATTTGTATCTTCTAAATAATATTTTTCATAAGGTAAATAACGATTTTCTTTAACCATTGAGTCAATCCATGTTGGAGATAATATATGTGCACCACGTGCAAGGCACATGAAAAACTTTTTCGTACGTCTAATACGATCAACAACTAATGCATCAACATGGCATGATTCATCCATAATTTCAAAGCCTAATTTACGCAATGTATCTAAATGACTTTGATCAAAATTCTAAAGAAATATCGAACAAAATTATTAAGTTAGTTAAATGAAAACAAACATCAATCAATTCTTACTAAATGACTACTGAGAGCGATGCGGACAGGTCGATCTTCAGGTGGACTTTGTTTTTCGTCTGGTTGATCAGTTGGTGTATTTAATTTTGTAGATTTTCGACCACGTTTTGGTGTCACAGGATTAGGTGGAGGTGATGGTGATGGTTCTACAACAGGAGCTTGCTTACGACGTGTATTTACTGGTGACGCTGTTTGTGGTGTTATTGAACGGCTAGAAAACAAAAAGACATTATGAAATACAGAAACATATTACTTGAAGTTATCAATTCTGACTTGATCGGGTTGGTTTAGGAACTAGATCTTTCGTAGTCTATAGAATACACCCATGATAATACATCTAGCTCGTATGTCTAAGATGATTATTTGTTGTATATGAGAAAAAAATTTTCAAAGAAAGTGAAGTCAGATTCGAATGGTTCATGAGGATTAGGTCACTTAGAAAATCTTTGTCTACTCTCGTTTTACAGAGTCAACATTTTTATTTTGAAAGGCTATGTCATATGCCAGTATCGTGGTTGTTCCATTCTTACTTTTTTCCCGTGATAATGGAGAATAAGTTCCATACATTGGAAAAACATGTTAATCGATTGATAGAAACGCTTTTTATTTCTGCGCATTTATATCAACCGGGTCGCTACAATTTTATATGCTCTTTCACCAAGAGGGAACTAAACGTCTTTCAAACTTTTCAAATGCAACAATGAAAACAAGTCAGCAGGAAACAAAATTTTTTAGAAAAATCATGTCAGTGACGAAAGTTAATTTTGTGATTAAAGAAAGAGAAATGGAACTATACATACGTTCGTTTTGCAGTAGTTGTTGCAACGGGTGTTGTACTTTTACGCTTTCGTCCAATGCTTCTTGTTGACAAATTAGGTTCTTCATTTTCACCACCGGTATCCATTTGTTCGTAAACATCAGTATTATCTTTTTGTTTTTTAGTTTTTTCGTTGGGACTCTCGGATACATCGATTGGTTGTTGTCGAAGACTTATACGTTTTTGTGATGCTGACGAAGCACGTCCACCACGAGTTGATTTACGGCCTGCTGTTGGAGTTGTTGCTGCTACTGCTGCTGCAGTTGTTGTTGCCGCTGCTGCAGTCGTAACTGCAGTGGTTACTGCTGCTGCTGGTATAGTAGGAGTTTTCGATTGTTTTTCGAGATCATCTAAATCAACATAATCATCGGCATATGGAAATTGACGATTTCGACCACTTGATGCACGAGCTTTAATTCGAGCTATTAAAAAAGAAAACGAAGATAAGAAGAAATTTTATGTAACGATGTTTTATTCAGTTTACCAGAAACTCGAACATTTGAATTGGCATTCGCTTGACTAGTTGATGCAGTTTCTTCAACTGGTGCTGGAGTAATTGGCTGAGTATCATTTTGTTTTCGTTCAACTTCAATTCCTGACGGTTTTTTTGGTGATTCTTCAGTTTCAGTATTTACTGTTTCTTCTAATGTTGTATTATTACTTTCTTTATCAACGGTTGGTGGTAAAATTGCATTACGACGTCCAGCATGTAAACGTGTACTAACAACACGAGCTCGGGCTGCACCTCCGCGGCGACCTCGCGCACGACGAGCAGTTCGTCGAGGAATGCCACGTTGGCCACGGCCTGAAACAACTCCTGGTTCTTCAATTTCTTCTTCTTCCACTTCAGGTTCATCGGCTTCTTCTTCTTCTTGTTTATCAGTAGTATCAAGAGTTGAAGATAGAACATCTTCAGATTCAGAAGTAGCTGTAAAATAAAAAAGAAATTCACACTTAAATGCCCCATGTTTATTTTGTAATCGTAAAATAAACTAATTATCCGAATCCTTCAAATACTAGAACACTTACGAATTGATTCAACCACTTTTTGTTCTGATTCCATTGTAGATGTTGTTGAGCATGTACCCGTTGCCTTTGTGTGTTCCTATTAGTATGAAAATGAAATGTGCATAATATGCACCAGAATAATTCTTTTACCGCAGCAGCTGGTTGCACTTCTGTTTCGTCAGTTGGTATTGCCTCTACATTGGCTGAAGATAGATTTTCATCTTCTATAGTAGTAACAGTAGATTCTTGTTGTTCAACAGCTGTTGTTGGTTCAACATTCTTGATTGTTGATAGAGATTCTATCGAAATATAAATGCAATGAAAGATTCATATATCAATCGAACCTTATCCTAAACGCTTAGCTCCCACTATCTGATTGCGGGAACAAAAATATCCTCTTCGATTTCGATTTATTTTTCATATACAAATCGAAAACATGTATACCACGCTATAAAAAATGATCATCGAGTACACGAACTAAGAAAGCGTATTCATAGCGACAAATAAATGTAACATTTGATAAAAACACATATACTTAGTCAGATATCTTATTAGTTGTTTCGGAAAAACATATATATGTATTGAATGATATCACCAAGTTGTGTTTACAAAACTTCAATGAGTATATTTCAAACAACGATTGCATTTAAAAGGTACATTTAGTTAGTATTTGTTATGGAGTCTCTAACTATAACTGTTTTTCTATCTGATTTAGTTTTACCTGATTGACTAGTATCCATTTGTTCATCTTCCATATTTTCCTCAACAAGATTTTGATTAATAATAACTTCAACTTGTTGTTTAGACATTGTATCATCAACAGCATTTTCTGCATTTTGAATTTGTTCAGCTAATTTTGACATTGGAACAACTTCACATGTTTCCGATGCTGGTCTTGGTGATGAACCATCAATCTGCTCATCAAGATCATATTGTTGTGTGTCACCACATACAGCTGGTGTCGTAGTATCTAAATCATTTTGTTCGTCCATTGGTAGACTTTCATTTTCAATTGTAGTTGATATTTTTAAAGGTTCCTCATTTGTTGATGAGAGATCATTAGGTGCATTTTTGCTCTCAACATTAGCTGCTGTTTTCGTATTGTCTTCGTTTGTTGGCTGAAGATCATAAGTTAGTGTTTCAGCTGCAGAAGTTACACTTTCAACAACAGTTATGGCTGTAGTTGTAGTAGTAGTTTCTTCATATGTTGGTTGTAGATCATAAGCTTGTGTTTCAACAGCATGATTTTTATCATCAATTAAAATTGTTGTAGTTGTTTCTTCTTCAGTCGGTTCAAGATCATAAGCTTGTGTTTCCATTGGTAAATTATCATTACCTGATATTGTTGTTGTTGTTGTTGTCGTTGTGGTCGTAATTTTTTCAATCAATTTATCTCCCTCAATAACAACTTGATGAACTTCTTCACGTTTTGTTTCAACAATATCTGTCACAGCTGGTTCGCTTTCAAGATCATATGGTTGAGTTTCACATACAATTTGTTCTGTTCCAGTATTTCCTTCATCAGCTGGTTTAAGTGTATATGCTTGAGTTTTATCTATTTCAATTTCTGTTGTTGTTTCAGTAATAACCTTCTTATTATTGTTTTCTTCAATAACTTTTTCAGTTCGTGACGACGAAAGAATTTCAATTTGATCATCATTATCTATTTGTGTTGATTCAATAACTAATGCTACAGTTGCTGGTAATGTTGTTGCACCAATAACTAAACTATCGTCATCATCATCATCATTATCATTTTTCAATGCTGATGATGAGGTTGATGGAATAAATGATGATGATTTATTTGATGAAGACTCATTCAAACCATTTTGTTTCACTGCTTCATCATCTGAATCTAATCAAAACAGGTTACTATAAGTAAAAATAAATAATTCAATAGAAATTATACTTTTAACATTCGTCCGAGTAAGACCTAAAGATAAAATAAAAATTTATCAAATCATTACGTGCCATTTTATATAATTTCAAGATAGTTACCATTTGTATTAGTAGGATTTCCATTCCAAACTTTCATTGGTTGTGTAGGTTCCTGATCATCATATGAATCAGTTATTGTTTGCGTTGATGCTAAAACAAAAAAATATAGAAATCATTAAATCGGATATTCAATTAAAATCTTCTTACGGATAACATCAACATTTGATTCTGTGATAACCTAAAACAAAACAGACATTTTAGATACAATGTTTTCCATTCTAAAATATGAGTAAAATGTTAACTCGACAAGTTCAATACAACACATTCTCATACCAGTGGAGGTGAATCTTCTTCCGATGACCACGACGAATCCTCTTCAACTAAGGTATTAACTGGTGGTATATAAGTTTCATATGTTGATTCCGAAAGTGTCTTCAAAAAGTTTTTTCCATACTAAACTGAGTGAAAATTAGACAAATACTTACATTTTTATTTGATTGCTTTTGTTCTTGAAACAAACAAACAACATCACCTAATTTTAATTCATCTCCATTGTGTAATGCATAACAAACATTTGGTTGCAGTTGGATCTGAATAATAAGTGAATGAAAATTATTCTTTAACAAAACAATTGTGATGATGTTTTCTTTTCGTACTTTATTATGAAAGGTTTTATTACTACTGCCAAGATCAGTAATGAAATATTGACCATTGTTCAAAGTAACTTTAGCGTGTTGTTTTGAAAGTGACTTCAAAAAAAAAGAAACAAATAAAAGTTCATTATTGATAAAGAAAATATTTTACCGGAGCAGAAATAATCAAATCGGATGGATTTCCACGGCCAATAATTGTTTCTTCTATTACAGAAAAAAAAGACAACAAAAACTTTTTGATACAGAATATTGAGAACAAAAATACATACTTCCGATTTGATACGTATTTGAATCAGTGCCACTAATGATTTTTAGTGAAGCTTCCTTTATTCAATAGAAGAAGGCCATTGTTGCAATATTTTTTTAAATAGTTGATAAACTTACTAATTCAATGGTTGATGAATTCTGTAAAAGACTTTCGTCCGCTGATAGAATTTGTGTATTATCAAGATCTGTCATATCGTTTGCTTTTTAACAATTGTCTGGAAAATTTCTTGATAGAAATGAATAGATTGTCTATACTTTCCGAATCTTTGTTCAATGTAGCTAGTGACATCTATTCTTTGTCTTTTGTCAAATATATATTGAGTATTGTCATGACTTGAATAAATACGATAAAACAATATAAAAAATCAAAATCATTCTAGAAAAGTATTAATTTGTTATTTGTATAAAATTAGTTATTAATTACTACTGATATTTAGTGTCATCTATAGAAATTAATACGATATTCTACGAGTCTAGCCTTCTATTTGTTTTTCTTCCGTTTTAAAAGGAAAAAGCCGTTCTTGCATGAATCCTATTTCAATGGGAATAATACATAATGGCGTCATGAGGCTCTGTTTTTCTCTTCATCTTTTTTCATACTAAGATTCGTTTCGAAAATAAGCACATACGCAAAAAGAACGCAGCAGAATATAGAATATCGTACTTCAGCGAATTCTAAATAAGAAATATCATTAGTTTGCGCACTTGATTTTGTTCCAACTTTCTTTTCTTGAGAATATCGATGAAATCTTTTTGTTTTTTAAATATGCCGTAATATGAAAATATTGACTTTATGATTAAATTACTTATCAACTCCTACTGGAAGAAATATTTTTTCCAATAATATCGCTTTTTGCTTGTATGAAGAAGGAATCACCTGACTCTCAGCCCGGGTTAATCTCTCTTTTTCTCTCTCGTTCTCTATCTTTTCTAGCGTAGCCGGTTGAAAGAAAACATAGACGCGTATATAAAGAGTGAATCTTATTGAAGAAGCTCGTATTTACCAAAGTCGAATACAATCTTATTCTTGTTCTAGACAAGAAGTTTCACTTCGAACTAAAGTTTAGACGTGGCGGTTCTTATTTCTACATATAATTCTTTGTTGACCTCCGAACATGTCAACAGCCGATCAAAATCTGGTAATTATATGAATAGATTATTTTTCCCAATCACATCTCATAATTACTCTTTTTCTTTTTATGATAGATTTCTCAATATCATCAAGTAATAATTATTGGTTCTGGTACAGCTGGTCTCTCGGCTGCATATCAATTGCATAAATCTGGTGTTAAATCAGTTATTATTCTTGAAGGTTCAAAACGTATTGGTGGACGCATCCTCACCGAATACTTAGATGAAAATTTATCAAAACCACTCGAAATGGGTGCATGTTGGATGCATGGCTTACAAGGAAATCCTGTATATGAATTGGCACAACGTGAAAATTTTCCAGCTCATACAGGGACAATTCTGAATTTTGATATTGGTACATGTGTTGATGAAAATGGTTTATATATCTCAAGTGAATTACATCATGAAGTTGATCAATTTTTTGATAGCTTACTACAAGATACACGTGATTTGTTTGAATTTCAACAAATAAACAATACACAATTATCATCGTCAAGTATTCATAAAGTCTTCTTGGAAAAATTTGAAAATTTTCTAAATTCAAACGCTGGCGATAATGGAACACGTTCCTTAAAACTTAAATTACTTCAACGAAGGTAAAAATTTCATTCAAGACAATAAATAAAATTGTGTTGATAAAAAACAAATGCTTTTTGTTGTTGTATAGATTTGATCAAGAAACAGGTGAATGTGGTTGTCAATCAATGGAACAGGTGTCTTATTCAGAATTTGGTTCATATCAACGGCCAAAAGGTCCCGATATGGAATTTCCATCGGGTTATTCAACATTAATTCGTTATTTGTTTTCACAAATACCACAGGATTGGATTTTATTTGAACAATTTGTTGAAAATATATTATGGGATACAGACAAGCATGTTAAAATCACATGTGCAAATGGAAATATTTATGAATGCGAACAACTTATTTGCACGATTCCGTTGGCTGTTATGAAATGGAGTTATAAATCATTGTTTACTCCAGCATTACCAGGTAAATTGATTTACTCCTGACAACACAGATGAATTGAACTTTTTTGCTTTTCTTCTTTTTTCAGCATGGAAAAGTGAAGCAATACAAAAAATGGATATGGGTACGGTCGATAAGATCTATTTATTTTATGATAAAATAGATTTTTTCACTGGTGATTCATTGGCTATTGTTTATGATCGAAAGCATGACACGCTAGATATTAAGAAAGAATGGTACAAAAAAATATTCTTATTTCAAAAGGTTTATGATAATGTTTTATTATGTTGGATAACGGGTGATGAAGCTATCTTTTGTGAACAATTGAACGAAAAATATATTGGTGATGTACTAACAAATCTTTTTCGGAAAACCTTAAAGAGTGCCCATATACCAACACCAACAAAAGTTGTTCGGTAAGAGAAGAAGAAAAAAAATGATCGCATTATTAGCTTTGTTTTGCTAGATTTTCTCTCTTACGAGAAAATCGTCTATAACTGATAAATCTCTTTTGATTTCCAATTAATGTACACAATATAGATCGTAAACAGCAATGAAAATAGCCCGAGAGAAAGTCCAGGGCTGCTAACTGATTGATTTGATGATACTATAGCAATATGGTACACATCAATGGAATTATACGGCACCCTTCAGCGACACTAACAAAAATTTGCATACATTTTAGGTCATGATGACAATAGTTTCCTTTGGACGTTTCACATCTTTGGATTTTTTTGCTATCTTGAAATGAGAAGATCTTTACTAGCGATTATCATTATTGATGTAAATATCATGCTTTTATCATATTTTTTATCCTAAAATAGGACTAATGACGCGATAGGAGCTAGGTGTGCAAGAGAAAAAACATTAATCCTCAAGGTCAGCGTTCAATGAAAGCATTAATTCTCAATTAGAAAATCATTTTTTTTCCTTGATTTTCCTGAAGGAGATTATGGCATTCATTTAAAACTATCGTGAAAGTGTAGCGTAGATTTAAAAGAAGTAAACTCTGGATATCAATTCTTTCTAGAGTATTCATTGTGATTGACATGAAACATAGTGAATCAAATTAAAAGAATTCAATAAACTGTCAGGCTACTCTGTTAAAAAACTAATTTACATAAACAAAGATTGATTACTGTCATTATAGAAATCAATTAAATGATGGTAAAGCATTTAAACAAGCTTGCGTATCAACTATTTTACTCATGCTATTCATAAAACAAAAAATTCTAACAAGCACTTCCTCAACAAATGTCATCTCTAGATTCCGTCAATTAAAACTCCCGTGAATAGAATTTCATTATTTTTTTTCCTCTTATACATTCTAGAACTCAATGGTTTTCAAATCCATGCTCAAAAGGTTCATATTCGTATGTTCCTGTCGGCGCATCATCTTGTCAACATATTCGAGACTTAGCTGAACCATTAAAAGTGCAAGACAAGGTCAGTTTGATTCCTTAAAGTTCACTTGAAATTTGCAAACAAAAATGATAGTATTGATATTTTTATACTTAAAGTCCTTTTAGTAGTCTCTCAGAAGGGCAGAATCCGATTGATGGACAACACCCGTAGGCAATGCGCAGGTAGACGATTTCTTGGGGTAATATATCAATTCACACCTAAGAGTTGTTGAATACGCGTGTTCCTCGGTTTTGTTGTTGTTTATTTAACTAGGTTCTGTTCGAATGATGACGATGAAGAAGAATAATAGGTTTGATTATGATTATTCACAATTATCTATTTCTTTTTTCTTCTTTCTATCTATCTCGCTCGTCTCTTCTCTATTTATTTATTAAACAAACATGTAATTTTTAGTCGCGAGTACATTTTGCGGGTGAACATACCCATACTCGCTTTTATTCAACTGTAACGGGTGCTTTCATAACTGGTCAAGCACAAGCATTAGAAATAATACAAGAATTGAATACGAAAAACGATACAGAAATGTTGGTTAAAGCCAATACAGATGATTTTAATAAAATGCAGTGGAAACGTGAAGAACCACCCTGACAAACCCCCGTATTAAGTTGTCGTCGTGAAATGACGACGGCAAGAAATGACGGTGCTGGTCAAACACCAACGGTATCAATGACTATGCAAGATGTTGTCTCAAAACCAAACTGTGGTTTGACAACAAGAATCTTCTCGTCTATTACTGATTTGGTTAACCAGGCCGTTCATTTTTTTCAATCTATTACACAGAACATGGACATGTAATTTTTTTCTCTTTTTATATCTAAGCTAAACAGCTAGGGTATAGTTTCTCTTCTCTTCAGTTTCGTATTAATGCTGTGTTCATTTATTCAAGAGCATATCGTTTCTTTTCTTTTTTTTCAATATTTACTCAATAAACTACATTATTTAATCACGTAACTAGGCGAACAAATTTCTCAATGTGAAATTAAATATCATCAAAAATACGTTTAGCTTTAAAAATATGAGAAATATAATTGAAATAGATAGAAAATAATTTATTATTGTATTAAAAAGAAGCCAAAACAAAAAAGTATTATACAAAATTCGGAGAAAACATAGAGAAAGAAAAATTTGATGACAGTTCAGAGTCGTAAAATTCAAGTGATTTAACCATTTCATGTGCTGCATCGATTTCAACAGTACCAAAGATATCTTCTGGATTTTTATCATTAAAGTAAATCTGATTAATAAATGCTAATTGAAGTTCACTTTCTATAAAAACAAAAAAGATCATTGATTACTTAAGACAACAAAATTAGATTATCTTACTTCTAGCCCAACTAGGAACTCTTTTTGATCGGCGACGAGATAAAACTGCGTATGTATCATCCAGTTGTTCTTCATGAAAGATAGTCATATCATAATTATTTGTTGAGTCTGTTTTAATGCTGTATTCTAACTTTGGATTAACTTCACGGACAAAATTAGATCTGAAGAAAAAATACAATAACAAAAGATTAAAACATATGTAAAAAAAAACATATATACATACCCTTTGATACGTTGAAATCGAGCAGTTGTTGATGATGCATGACTTGGAACTGGACTATGTACGGGAGTTTTCGATTTTTTAAATAGTTGACGTCGAAGTAATGTTTTAATTGAATTAGTTGAATGTTTATTATAAGTTATAATAGAAGAATTAGGTGGATGAACGCACTAGAAATATATATATATGATATATAAAACACAATAAATATATTTACTTTTACTGGATTACAGAATGCCATTGATGTAGTTGTATTGAATTTTCAGACGAGTACTGACGATAAGAAAGTTGAGCGAGAAATGTTACTGAATGATCGAATGTGTTTACTTTTATAGACTAAATCTGATTTAGTTAAAATGGCTCAAGTTGTTCCAATTTTTCATTCTAATCAAAGTACTGTTCCGAAATTGGGATTGATCAATTAGACGACAAGCCGATTAAGTAATCTATATTGTTTATGATCGTCGATGCTACATCGGTTAATTGGACGAAAAGATATGTTAGTTAATTGAAAATAAAGGAACAGAAACAGAAATTTATTCATGAAAAAAACACTGCAAAATAATTATTGAATATCACAAGAGACAGATTGAATTCATCCATGGAAAGGGTACGATATGAAAACAACAAAAATATCCTATTATGAATCTATTTTGAAAACCTACAGTAAGATTGTTTTTCTAACAATCGATATTTTTGTGTTTGACATTCTTTTTTGTTTTGCTATGTCATCAATTTCTGCATATGAAATTGAATCTAGTTATTTAACTTAATTTGATGTTCACTTCTATTAGGAAAATGAAATGAAATATGCACGATAAATTAAGAGTAGGATACGATTGATAATGCAATAAAAAGATGCTCGAATGAATGATGCCGTGTGAACAATTGATATCATGGTTCAATAAACAAAAAATATTGGTGCACAGAGAAAATTCTGTTCTATCATTGATAAGGTTAAGACAAGACACGCTCAATAAAAACAAAATAATTATGAAATAGTTTCGATTGTTGAAAGATTAAAAAAACATTCACATAAGTAACATACTTCTAACTATCAACATGTTACTTTTATCTGTGTTGAAGTTTGTTGTTTTTTATTCGCAAATAATGTTCTGAGTACGATGATAGTCCTTTCGATATATGATTAACAGATGTTTTTATACTCACACAAACTAATGATATGAAAACAAAATCAATCCTAGAAAAAACAAAGTATGATAGCGATTTATATTTCAAACTGTCTTGATTTTTATATACGGTATTGAAGTCATACAAAAAGAAAACGAGACAAAAAAAGAAGGCAAAGAAAAACACGAGAGAAAAGAAAACATCATACTTAGGGTGTATAAAACAAAAGAGAACACAAATCTTTGTTATATGAAGTTAATTTTTTTTTGCTAATAAAATTCTATATGGTACATATTTATATATATCTAGATTAATGTGAAGAAAATCAATTAATCTGACCGGTTCAATTGGTTGATATTAATATATATATATATACGTATATATAATTAATAAATATAAAAAAAAAGTTCGAACACGATATGAAGACCAAAGGAGAAACGAAGAAGTAGAAGAAGACTAGGTTCAATTTCTTTTCGTTTTTCTATTCACGAAAGACGATTGGGTTGACATCGTTGGATTCTGTAATTATTTCCATATTTTAACAACAGCATCACATGAAACAGTTATCAAATAAGGCGTACGTTCTTTTGACATAACTAATTGCATTGATGTAACTGTATCAGTATGTGCAGGAGGAATGTTTGCACTGGATTTTGTTGTTTTGATTTCTGTTGTTGTCGATGGCCCAGACGGTGGTAGTGCTGCTGCTGTATTTATTAATTGTGTTGATGATGGTGGTGGTGAAGACGGATGTTTACGTCGATGATATTCTTCAATGGTAACTTCAGTACCATCAATAGTTTTAGGTTGATAGCGAGCAGTTAAAGCATCATCGTCAGCTGGTCCACGACATACAATATAAGATCGAATTGGTTGTGTTAAATTCCAATTTCTTATACGCATATCTGTTCCAGCACAAAGCAATGATGTAGTTCCATCATTTTTCCATAAATACATTGCTGCAATGTAATGATTTAACGACTACAAAAACAACAACAACAACAACATTGTTAAAGTATTTAGAAACATTTTTCATTATTTTTTTTTCATACCTGTGTTAACGAAAGTGGGGCTACTGGCGATGGCCAGAAAGCTTTTTGTCGCATTTGAGGTTTAGCAATATCCCAAATAGCTACTTCATTGTTACCTTGAAATGAACTTATTAAACTACTTGGCTGATCTTGATGACGAAGTAGAGTAATTATACGTGCACCTAAGATTTAAAAATTTAATTTTCTTTATAGTCTGATTTTTCATAAAGATTCAAATAAAATCGAAGTCTCTTTTTCAATAAAAAATACGCGTTGCTTTTTATAAAAAAATTTATAAATAGTCTCCATATTTTCTGTTTGAAGAATTTTTTAGTCTAAAATGATAACAAAATTTGTCGCCTTTTTGAATACAGAGCTGAAGATTTTCTGTAGATGTTGATTATATATATTTAATTTATTTTTGTTTGAACAAACATGTCTCGATGAATGATATGACATAGATTGTCTTTTATTTTTAATGAAGTTACATTATCTTTATAATTAAAAAGAGCTATTTTTAAGCATAGTTTTTCTTTTAGAGGTATGAAGCTGCCTTCTTCGTCAAAATTAGAAATCTCAAAACGAAGAGGAATCCCAGCGTGATAGACTTTCAATAGAGAAAGAAAAAGATAGAATGAAAACCTGAAGAGAATTTCTGGCTACTAAAAACAAAAAGGTTACTTTCACTCTTGTATGCTGAATCACTCTAAAGAAAAAACTATCAAAAACTCTTCTTCTCACCTGTTGGATGCCTTAGACCTTGAATACACAATTGAAAACGCATATCCCATACATCAATAAATCCACTACCAGTGCCTACTGCTAACCACGATTGAAGTTCATCGACCTCAAGTGCAGTTATTAAACCTAGAAAAATAAAATGAGACAAATAGAAACAAATACAAAATTTCTCTTACGATGATTTAAATCATTTTTAAAGCGAAAAACAGGCGTTGAACATCTTGTATCAATTCCAACAATTAAACCTTGTGATGTAGCTAATGCTAAAATATCTTGTGAACCAGTATTAAAATATTTCAAATCGACGGGTACACCAACATCATCAACATTCATTTTGAAATGATAAAATGATTCACGAATATCTGTTGTAGGAGAATTAAGACTAAAAGAAAAAGACCATTTGTTTTTGTTTTACTTGAAGAAGAGAATCCATGTTCTACGTACTCATATATATTCAATTGCCCATTTTCGCTTAAAGAAGCAAGATTTAAACCATTATCCGACGTGAATGCTAAACCTTGAATAGATGATCCTAAAAAAGAGCAATTAAATTCAATAAAAATATTAAATCAAAGTCAACAAATAGATCTATTCAGTAGGTAAACAATCAAAATCATCGAAACTATGACCAAGCCTCAATAGAACAAAGAAAAATGTAATGTTCATAACATTCAACGGTGAGAAGTAAAACAGTCTCGAGTCATTTTTTGTTTGCTACTAAATGAGACAAAGTATTCAAAAGAAAACAAAATGTCCGAAAACGATGTTCCATTTTGATGTAACTTTTATTTTGATGCAAATACCTAGATGTATAATTCAGAGACATAATCTACGTGATAACCTACTTGTAAAACTACATGGAATTTTATTAAAATCTTAATAGATTGTCTTGATATAAAATACTGTTTTCAACTCATTTTTAAAGCAATTTTATTTAATGTAATATCAAATGAAATGGCGTCTGTAATTTGTCCTCTTTCAATGGTTCAAAAATCTAAGTTAACACTTATAACCTTTTCCAAACACAGCTAAGAGAACATATCCGTGTCATTTTATAAAAAGATACGTTTCCTTTCGATAATTCCAATCATCAATTTTAATTATCCTTCTATAGAGTTGTTTCAAATATTCTAGACTTATGCACCCCTGCCCCCGCTCTCATATGACTTTAAACATATGAATATGATATTGATGTTTTTACCTATTGCACGAATAGCTCGTGTTGGTCGGAAGATAAGGGTTTTTTGAAATTGATTTATATCCCAGAGTCGTATCGCTCCTTTTACATCACCAGTAGCAAACAGTTGTGTATGATTCGTCGATGGAGAGACAAGACTTGATGTTAATCTTCGAAAATAGAACATTAAAAAATGATCGAATTTTCGCTTTATTTTAAAATATTACCTTGTAATTTTCCCACTATGTAAATGAATATGACCGAGAAGAGTTCCTTGTGGTGTCCAAAATTTTGGATCAGCTATTTCATAAACATTTGTTGGTACATTATGTTTAAGTAATTTTTCACGTTGACAATCTTCACGATTGATAGCGTCATGTTTTAACAGTAAATTATGTTTTTCAGTTAAACATTGTAATCGAAGTCCTTTTGAAAAGATAAATGAAGTTTTATAGTTTTAATACAAAGAATAAAAAAAACCTGTTCGTGTTATTCTTGATGCTGGATCTCGAATAAGAACTGGTCGATGTTGTGTTATGTTTTCTGTTGATGGTAATTGATATTGTGCTGTATCAACTAACATATTTTCATCGTTGTTTTCATTCGGTGTTTTATCATTTGAGCTGGCTGTTAAGTTCGATGGAAGATTTTCTACTTGATTGGAAATTTGCATTGTTACGCCTCCAAACATTTCCGACCAATCCGACTAAATTTTTAAAAATGAATACGTAGAGAAAAGGTGCTTCAACTGATATACAATATAACTGACACTTTCATTATTAATATTTCTTGCTGAGTAGTTGTCATTACTATTTCGATTTATATTCAGATTTGAATCAAGTCGTTGTGCTGGTAAAACTTTTATATTAACAGTACCTGGACGTGTTGTTGATTCAGTTGACGCACTTATACTAAAACAGCAGTATTCGTTTTTTTTATGTAGAAGAATACTTTTAGTTTTCTTCTTTAATTTTACTTTAATCTGTATTGTGATGTTTGTTTAACGAAAAATTTCAATGCTAAAATTTTGTCTTCATCGAATTCTTTCATTCCTAATTCAGTTAATTTAGCAAAGGCCTACAAACAAAAAAGTTATTTACATTTTAAAATAAATCTGAATTCAAAGAATAGCAATTATCTTACTTCATGTACAACAGCATCAGTTGGTTGAATATAGGCTGGTTTCAGTCCATTACCTGTCATTTGTCGAATATTTGATCGATCAATAAAATGTCGAAATAAATTTTCATTCGGTTGAATTTTTTGAACATATTCAAATAATTCACGTGATAATGGTTCGATCAATGCATTGTATAATATCTCCTAAATAATAGATTATTCGAATTACAATTACTGAATAATTTGCGACAAAAATATTCTTTATCACTATGAGCTTTATCTCCGTGTGAAGTTTTAGGATGAAATGTTTTGAAAAGAAAAAATTCCCTAAGAATACTTATCACTCATCATCAATATGTTATGAATTCGCGTCCTTCAAAGTTTTTCATGTTATGTCATAACTTTAATACTAGTAGTCATAAATATCAAATCGTAATAGATTCGAAAGAATCTCGTTGTTTTGTATTAGCTTATTTGTTTACGTATACTATTAGCTTCTGAATTTAAGTAGATAGGATCCAGTAGAACAAGTGCATAATTTGTTTCTGTTAAGAATATGTGTAAACTTTCGAAAAAATGCTACTTCATAAGAAACTTATTTTATTCAAATGGAAAAGTTTGAAATTTCTATTAATAACATACAGGATTGCCAACTTGAACAATGGGAAATTTAAAGAATCGTTCGATCACCGGTATAACAAATCCATGTATATCAGCTAAATGTGACTTTTCACAAATACTATTAATAAATTCAATAACACTCAATCGAAGCCAAAGATTCTTAAAATGAAATTACAATAAATGAAAAATTTCGATAATAAAAGATTCTTTTCATACTGGATGGCAAACAAGTGGTGCAACTTGTCGAAGAAATTCATAAACTGTTTTCCGTTTTAATAATGATAAACGAACAAAACAAGCAAGTGCTTTCAATACTCGATAAACAACAAATTCTTCGTCATCAAGTAATCCCTTCAAAAATAAAAAAAAATAAAATATATTCGAAATTTTGTTTTTTCTATCAATTATTAAATTCAAACTTGATTGAGTAATGGTAAAATAAATAATTCACTTTCAAGTCCAATATATGATGCAACAGTAACAAGACTATCGAATAATGCTGCGCGTAAACGCCAATTAGGTTGACTCAATAGTGTTGTTAAATGTCCACAAATAACTTCAATTGCTAAATTATACAACGAAACGATAATGAATTTGACTGATGAATTCTTTTTCTTTTCTTTTTACTTTTTCGTTTGCCAAAAAAAGTACACAAACGTATAAGATCTGATCGACATAGAGTCTCAGCCAATTGTCCATTTGGATCATCATTTTCACCATGAATAAGATCGCCGAATTTACCTTGCATCCATGTGTGAACACCTTTTAATTCATCTTCATAGTTTTTCTATTCGCAAAAAAACAACAATAAATGTACACAATTTTCTTTTACCATGCAAATAATATCACTTACAAAATGATCATTATTTATTATATGATTTCGTTCTTCAATTAGATAGGTCTTTTCTAAAAATCTATAAAGAAAACGTAAACGAATAAGAATGTTTTAGAATAGAATAATTTATTTTTTACCTTAATGAATGTTCAGCTAGGATAGATAGATATTTGGCAAGATTCGACCGAACATAACAATCGTCGGGAAAATGTGGTGATGACTAGATCAATAATAAAAATTTAATTGAATAATAAATTCACACATGATTTTTTTCTTTTCTTTACCAATGTCGGGAAAAGATATTCACTAAAAAGATCAGCATTTTCTTGATTTATATTTTTTACAGATGATATTGCAAAAACAACTGTTCGAATAGCATCAGCTCGTACACGATGAAAATCATCATTTAACATTGCATGCTAAAAGAAAATATTTTGTTAAAAGAAAAATTTGAATCGTTCACTTTGAAAACGATTACAAACAATATGATTCATTCATATCTATGTTGTCCGCAAATCTTTTATTTTTCACTAAAACTTTGCTATCAACTATAGTCTAGTGCCTTCACGTCAGTTAAGAAAGATGGGTCTCACTTGTATTTATTTATCTATTTATTTTTCTTTATATCATTTAAAAATTAGTAGTTTTTCTATTGTTCGTTTTGAAGCAAACGTTTGTCTTACCACATAGGGTAAAATTCGATCGAGTATAATTTGATCATCAACAAGTGGAATCATCAAACGTAAAAGTTCGAGTGCAAGAAGGCGTGAATGTAAATGCTAGAAAAAGAAAAGAGAAAAGATATATGAATAAAAAAATTAAAATATTTTTAATGCTTACATTTAATTTTCTCATACATGATAAAGCAAGCGAAAGAAGTATTAATAAACATTGTGAAGATTCTTGCTTTTTTTCTTCATCGATTTCCATGGAATTCTCATTCGAATGGTTATTATTTTCAATCAATAAACTATTAATTATATATGAAAAATCACGATGAAGTCTAAAGAGAAACATAATTACATGATTTTAGTGAAAAAAAAACTCCAAACTTTGTTAGTTCATACTTATAAATAACAAAGTCTGTTGAAAATTCTTTTAAAATTTTTTGTACATATGGTAAGAGAAATGTATAAAAACAAGATGGAAATGCTTTGCCTATTTGTTCATCAAGATATTGCTCAGCAGTTTGCCGTTTCAAAGGATCACGATCAATCATACTGGCAATCATAGCCTTAGAAATAGAATAGAATTTCAATAAAATATTCACGAGAAAACAAAAACCACTAGTGTTTACTTGTATATCAACATCAGCGATTTTATTAATAATTGGCATAGGATCATATGCATTATTTCTGTAATCTAGCATTTGTGTTAAAGTAAATAACGGTTGTTCAGTAAATAACTCTGCCAAAATGCAACTGAAGAGAAAATAAAATCGTATTCGAAAATACAAGAAGACTTGTTGTATTTTAAGAATTTTACCCGAGTGAAAAAATATCCATTGATGAAATACCCAATTTGCCAAAACTTGTTGAAAAAGTATCATTATTAATATCATTTCTAATTCTTGATTGATCATAGAAACGTTCGGGTGCTAAATAGCAAACATTTCGTTGTGATGCATTGAAATAATAATAATACTCAGCTGGATCCTCCTAAGAAAAAATAAACAAAATAAAAGTTTTCTCTCTTATTTCAATTGAAATAAATCTTTCAGAGTAGTAACTCTAAATTTAAAGTTTCAACAGACTCTTTTTCTTTCGATAATTTATATGTTGCTCGACTATAAAATAAATTAGGCCGCTGTATCACGATGAAATATTTAATTGAAAAAGTGTATTATTCGTTTTACTGGTAATGATCGATTTTGCATAAAACGATTGTTACCATATCCAGTTTCGAACTACGAAAATCTTTCATATTAAGACTTTGTTATTTTTTTATGGCCTGATACTGAAGGAGGAGTGGATGGAAGAGGTCGTCTGTGTCAGTAATTGTGAAAATATATTGACTGTTGGTGTCTATAATGCTGATAGCTTTCTTTTGGTCCCGCTTTAATCTATAGCGTGAAGGGAGTGCAAGTTGAATAATGTGTTTTTAAAACTAATACTCATCATTTTACATGCCTACTAACCAATGCTTTATCTCTTGCAAGAGTTGTCTATAGGTTTTAATCAGTTCGTTTTATGAAAATTCTTTCTATTAGAAACTACCGACCGAGAATACGCAGGTGCAAGTATTACACATTCAGATATTTTCTAAAATTAAGCAACAACTAAGAGCTAGAGAGATTTGTTTTTCGTTGCAAGAGCAACAATCAAATGAATGATCCACTGGGTGTTTAGAAAAAGAAAAGCAATCCATTTACAATCCAGCAAGACGAATGTAATGTATCTTGTAATAAAAAACAAACAATATTTTCACACGTCTTAAAACAATAAAAAGAAATATATGAAGCTTTTCTTTCAGTAATTTTCATATGCTAATTAATGAGTTTCATCTGCCAATGTTTATATTTATGTACATCCATCAACAGTGAGGAATAATTTTATCAAAGCTTTACATTTTCAATCGGTTTACTTACATAAGCAAAAAATGTTGGTTTAAAATTAGCAAAATCGCTTAGTAAAATCCAATTATAACTTGTTAATAAAATATTTTCTATTTTTAAATCTCCATGTGCAATATTAACGCTGTGAATATGTTTAAGTGCAATTAATAGCTGATAGGCAATCCATTTTTTCTCGATACGTGTCAAATAAGGTCGTGTTTGTAAACGATAGAACAAGTTATCTTTTATATATGGCCGTGCTAAAATTATTGAGCGATCATTTTTCTAGTGTGTGAAAAACAAAATAAATGAGAAAGTTAAGAATAAAAATACTGTTTGAATATCATACGGTAACAATTTGAAATGGTAAACAGTTTTTTAATGGCGAGGGTGATGACTCTTTATCGTGAAGAGTTGAATAGATTTCTTCAAGAAAAAACAATTCTATTATTGAAGAAGAAAAATAAAATTTGTTTTAGAAAACCTTGAATCTGTGCTTTGTATTGATCATATGGAAGCGATTGGTCAACAATTTGGAAAATTTTAAGCACACACGTTCCATTGCTTCAATAGATAAATATATATATATATATATATATATAGAAAGTCAATAGAATAATTTTGTAATCTTACCTTGTTTGTGCTTGAGCTACTTTTAAAAAGCGAGTAACGCCCAAACTAAAAAGAATGAAATATTTTATTATCGATTATCAGAAAGGCAAAACTAATAAATTGATAATATAAATGATTCTTATCTAAAGAACAATAGCAGCTAGATTGAAAAATCCAGATACAAATAAGCAAGTATTAGTCAGGATTCCGATTTTTGAAACTTCTCTTGCTCATGATTCCGAAATTCAAGTTGACTCTATAAGCCTCTATTCAGTATCTCTGATACAATTTTGGATACAAAAACAGTCTTCAATCTAAAGATCAAATTTACTTGTGAGTTAAATTAGTCTTCGGTATAAGTTCTACATAAAAATTCATTATAATTTTTTCCAACCTAATGAATTATTTATAAAAATGTTACCATCAAACTTTATTTTACCCATCAGATAAAAGGATCCCCAACTGTGTCGAGTTCAGTTAAAGTAGCGTAACGTTTACACATATGTTTTGCGTTCGTAATATTCGATAGCAACAATTTTGGTATTTAGTAAAAACTTAGAAATCAATTTATAATGGAGCAGTATAGTCTCTACTAAATATTTTCTAGATTTAGCATAGATTTTCTTAGAATACGATAAATAAGTAATACAGAAAAAGGATTTTCAAAATATCCTATTGGATTCGTAGTTAAATTCTAAAAATTACTTTTTAAGATAATTATATCCACTTAAGTCATTGAAATAGGTTTCAACGTTAAGAATTTGATTTGGTATGTGTGCAATTTGGTTTCCCATTAAAAAATAATCATCATCTAAAATAAAGACATATATTTATATAAAAACGAAAAGAATGATATTTCAAATCATGAGTAAATGTGAAAGAAGAAACTTCTACTAAAAGAAGAAAAATTATTCTAAATCAATATGTCGTCTTATCACCGTTGATCATTTACATCCTAAAATATAGTAATTAAAAAAAAAGTTCATACAATTTTAATGCTAAAAGAAAAAAATCTTTTCTTACCTTCGGTACAACAAAAACCCAATCTTTCATACGTGGTTCAACAATAATTTGGCATGCAAGTCGAGATGTTGGTGTTAATCCATATGCTAAATCTAGCATATCATTTTCTTCTTCAACAGGTTCTGGTAGTGTCTTATAGTTTTCACTATCAAGTATAACATGACACGTTGAACAAGCAAGTGTACCTTCGCATGCTCCAAAGCCATCAATATCTAATTTATTATCCAAAACAACATCAAGCATATTTGAGCCTATTTTAGCTTTTGAATTTATTAATTTTCCATCACGATCAATTATTTTAACATGAACAAAATCATTGGTATTTGATGAAAATCTTTTTAATATAAAATTTTGATTAAATATTGAACGTATTATTGATCGATACATATTCTGTTCATCTAAAACAAAAATCAACACAACAAAACATTCTTGTCTTTTTTCTTTTATCAAAATAAATCATTTTCATTTTGATCGATATTTGTTATTTCAACATGTTGTTCAATGTTAGGTTTTGTTTTTATAAAAAAATGTTCGTTTGATTTTTTCAATTCTTTAGCTTGTTCGCTGATTTCATTCGAACGATTATCATGAATCATTTCATCGATATTAAAATGAAGAATATTTCTTATATGTTCATTTTCTTCAAAACATTTCGAATAGTCTGAATTTTCAAATAGAAATTTTAAAAATTTAAGAATTTCACGTTTTAATCCACTCGACTTTGTTCGTGGACCTAAGTTCATAATTGGTTCAAGTAATGGAATTATATCGAACGAAGTTATTGTTAAACTTTTTTGTAATATTTGATTTACTGATTGTATAAGAATCGATTGAATTTGCCAATTGGAACGAAATATTATTTCAACAAGAAGTTCGAATGTGAGTTTCTTATATGATGATTCTATTTGACTAGTTTTAGGCCAAAATCGTGGCAAACATTCCATTAATGTACGATTATATGTATCAGATATAATTGGATCTTCATCAGTATCTGTGATATCTTTTTCTTCATTTGGATCCTTAAAAAAAAAGTCAATATTATTTAGATTTGTCAATATCAACAAGATAAGGAGTGATTTTTAGATCAGAAACCAAAAATGTTATCATTATTCGCAGAGGGTTGTCAATGGTCCTAAAAATGTCCACTTAACACACAGTTCATTAAAGAATAGAAGGACTTTAGCAGTCAAGAGAAAAAAAATCAAAACTTTATCACATTGATATTATCTATTCATCATTCTTTTTGCTCGTAATGGGACTCGCATTTTCTTCCAGAGGACTTGACTGTCACCTTTCCTACTATAGACGGACGCTCCTATTCATTAGAGTCTTATCACTACTGCAGCTGCTATTCTAAAGTTTAGCGTCATTTATTACGCTTGTCATAACATAGTTATCTACTATAAAAAAATGTGTGGTAGAAAGTTATCCTCATTTCAAATTCGAAAAACAAAAATTAATAACTTAAAACTTTAACTTAGTGTGAGTAATTTCCATATTGCTGCTACAATTGTACGTTTTGATTAAAAAAAATAAGTGTAGAAGTGAGTTTTTTAACCTACAAAAAGGAGTCCTAACTCTCTCGCTTGAAAAAAACTAAAGAAGCGCTTCAATGAGTAATTAGCAATTGTAATGTGGATGGCACAAGAAAGACAACTAAAACTAAAGACTTCTGATTATCTTAATAGTGTATTAGTATGTATAAATTGTGAGTTTCGAAATAAAAGAAAACTAAACTGAACATATAGTGGAATCTACAGGACACTGTGCATATAGATAGATAAATATTATGAGTTTTAAAGAAAAGTTAAAAACAAATTAATCGCTGAACCTACTAAACATTGCCTATAGACATGCTGTTATTGTAAATAATAAAAACGAAAACTGAATCTATCGGTAAAACTTACTAATGACATTGTAGAAATATTTAGCTAATTGATTTTTTCGTTTTATATAAATCTATGAAAATGGCTGTTATATTAATGTCAATAAAACTAAGAAATGAATAGAAAAGTTTGCTATTGAGCTTTTATTTTTTCTTTTAACTACTAATACAATAAAAATTTTATTCGATATGAAAAATCCCACACATTCCTAGAGGACTTTAGATAAAATGGACATTTTTTGTATCTTGATCATTGCTGTTAAATTTATCACAGTCTTTTTTCTTTATATCTGCTAGAATAAGCTGAGAATTAAATGCGTGCAGATTGATTAGTTTTGCTGAAAAACTTGTATCAAACGAAATACTTTCTTATAAGAAACTTTTAAAAAAGTCAAAGATATTTACTGGTAGTTTAAATGTTTTTTCAAACCATGTCCAAAAAAGTTCGTATACTTGAAAATTATATTCATCAGCAAGTAATGATAACACACGTATAGCAATAGATCGATATTTAAGTGATTCTTTTTTACATTCTTTGAGAATATGTTCATAAACACGTTGAACAAGATCAGAAGAAGTCTTCAGAGAATCCCTAACAAAAATAAACATTTTATAATTGAATCATACAATAGTTATATAATATATTCAATATTAAAGAGAGCAGCAAAACTGAAAATATGACTTTCGATCTCTAGAGTATATTCTATTTTGATTATTTACAAAATATTGTACTATAACTATAAGAGATACGTACTTGCAATGTGTACAAAGCATTTCAATAGCTCGAAGAAAACATTCCTATTGTTTAAAAAAAATGGTAAGTCTATTAAAATACGAAAAAAACTTTTTTTCCTCACTTTTCCTTCATAGACTCTTCCATAAACTCCTTTTAACAGAAGTTCTACTAATATAAATAAATATTCACTATTTAGATTCATTTTCAATGTTTCTCCAATCATTTGTACAGCACGTGCACCTTTAATTTTCATTGAATACGCACTATGTTCAATAGCTAAACGAATATTATCAATGATTCCTTTAATATATGTTTGAATTCCTGTTATTGAACTTCCTGTGTGTTCGATCCATAGATTTTTCCAAATAAATTCTTCTTGTTGTTCATTATCGTCTTTAATATTTGACATACTTTCTTGCATAGCCAAAAAGACTAATGGTAAAATTTGTTGACCATATTCTAATAGTAAATCATGATTTGATTGTGATATTGAATTAAGTGTCAATGCACAAACATATTGATAATCATTATCTGTTTGATAGTACCATATAGAAATCTTTTGTAAAAGATTTTCAATTGATGAACGCTTTGCTATTCGAACAATTGTACCTAAGACACTGGTATACGTTTTTCTTAATGTACGATTTGTATTGATACTCATCGTATTCACTAATATAGCCATCCATTTGCCGACATATTTTGAACAAATTTTTGGATATAAATTACTTAATGTTATAAAATATTGTCCAATCAGGCATTTTGTCGTTAAACCAATGGAATGTTTTATTGTTTCAATTAATTTTGCTGAAAGATCATCGAAAATATTTTCATCAACATATTGATTTGTACATGTATTGATTGCGTCCATTATAGGTGATGAACGTGCACAGTGTAAGCGTGCTATATCAACTTGCTCTTTCATTTCAGCTGCCGTTAATTTCATCGAAGCATAATTAAATATATCAGGTTCAATTGAAGATAGTGCTTCAAATAAGGCTACTATTATCACAGTACAATACGGTTTTAATGTATCACGATCGCCATAACGAATTATTTCAACTAAAACAATAAAATAAAATAAAATACATGAATAATGAAAAGTAAAGAGCGATTCTGAATGGGTTAGGCCTTAGGAAGGCGTACTCAATTCGATAACATCTACAATTTTGATTTTGAATCGAAAAATCTTTGTTTTCTTTTCATAATGTCATATTTTCTGTAAAACATCATACAAAAGAAATATTGAAGTATAGAAATAGAAATTTAGAACGTAGGAAGATTGTAATATATGTAGTTGAGAGATCTTGTTATGATACATAAACTAATTCTTAATGATTACTCAGGAGTAGATAGCTGCTGGCCTTTTTTAAATCGAGACTCTGGTATACCTATTCTAGAAGATCTAGAATATGAACGATTAAAGAAATGGGCACCAAGAAGGTAGAGAAACAGTCTTCCTGCGATTAACAAGAAATGTCACCTCATGTTTTACATTGTAATCTTATAGCGATTAGGTGAAGCGTTTTTTTATTTTTAAATATAATTGATTAGAAAAACAATGTGAAATATGCATAAACGCATGGCATTGGTTTCAAAATGAGTATATTTTAAATTTATATTATAGATACTAAAACCTAATCCTTCTGACTCAGGACAGATTGTAAAATCACTAGGCATTTTCTGAAAACTGTTATTTAAAATAGTGACACAGTATAAACCTTAATAATTATGTAAAGTGATATTGTGATGCAATTCTTTACATAAAAATACGATAATCTAATTCAATAATAAATGTCTTTTTTTTTTGATCATTTAGGTAGAATCAATTCAATAATGTGCACAATCATTGAAAACATGTTAAAAAAACAAAGGATCCATTTCGTACTGAGCAAACTGGTTGTCCATGAAACGTATTGTAAGGAGCAATGGTTGTACATCTCCTAAACTAAGACTCGCGACTCGTCGTCGGATCATCTACCGTCTCTGTACTTTGTTGTCTGCATTACTAATAGACCATGCTTATCAGCAGGTGATGCTTTCTTTTCGTTCTTCTTCTTTTAGATTTTTTTCCTATCTTCATTCATTTTTGTTTTTTCTCTCTTCTTTTATCTTATTTTCTTTCCTCTCCCACCCTAGCTTTACTATTATTTTTATTCTTGGAAGAATATGAATGGTTAAATGTCCAAGACTGTCACGAGCTTCCTTCGTGGTCCAGTTCTTTTAATGACTTTTCTTCGTGGATACATTGATCTTTTTCCAACTCAATTGTTCCTTTAGGACAGTCAGTGTCATAGGGCAAACAAAGGCAAAATTTAAAAAGAAATTTTTTTATTCATCATAGAAACTTCTATATATACAAGTTATATTACGAGAAAAACATGAATCCGCGCTTGGGTCAATGACATTTTGTGATGGTTTCTACGTTGAGTTCTAGATCAGTACTTTGAAATCGATTAAATATTTCAGTTATACATCATTTATCTTTTTGCAAAGTTAAGATTTCGTTCTGTTTAAATAGCTCTGTATTGTTATGAAATAAAACTTAAAATATACTGTCGTGCAATGATGTTTATCCGGGTAAAATAATGAATAGTTTTGATTGAAAATTACGTCTTGAACGATGATAGAATGGATTACAAGTAGTACTGCTATTTATAAGTAAGCAACATAATAAGTTGAAGTTATAGTATTCCAGACAGATACTTGAACCTATTAACAACGTATATTTTAATTACATATTCATCGCCTATTTAAATTTCGAGAATGATGATTATCGGTTAGTTCACCACATGAATTCTATCGACTTGATAATCAAAATTTCTTAAATAATCTAACAAAATTTTATTTTCCCACGAATTAACCGACGAATTCCTTAATTATTAGCTTTGATTGTCAAGTATGACGTCTATTTGTCTTGCATGCACATCATTCACTTGAAAAAAATCTAAATTATGAGTATTATCCTTTGACATAAACTTATAGTTCTATTGTAGAACAGTTCGATTGCTTTCATAAAACTATTCTAATTGGCTTGCAGCATTTTTTTTTATAATATTTAAGAATAACTTACTAATTGTATTCAATGAAAATTTAGATATATCTTCATTTTTGTTGTAAAGTCCATCATTTAAAATAACTGGTAAAATTTGTTCAAGTACATATCTTCCACGGGCTTTATGTTCTTCATCACTTATACTTAATTAGAAAGAATAAAATTTAATTTAAAAAGCAAAAACAAAATGAATTCTAAACTAATCTTACGCATTTGATATAGTTGTTGCTGGATCACAAGCAAGTAAAACACAATTTTGTTTAAATGCATTAATTGTTGCCAATGCTGCTTTTCGTACAGATTCTTTTGTATCATCACAAACAGCAAATAAACGACGAAATAATTCTTGAAATAATTTAATATATTGTTCATTATCAATCAATTTTCTATTTAACATTCTGAATATATCTAATAGAGCTAATTGTATACTTTCACGTATGCGCCAACGTGATGATAATATATCATTATATAAATCATTGAATATGATTGAAAAATATTTTTCAACAATAGTTATTTGTTTAATTGAAGAAAATAATTTGTTCCATATACGATTTATTGATTCTTGTACACGTATTTGTGGATCAAATAGAAGACGATACAGTCTTGAAATTAGTTGTTGAATATAAATTGAAATAAATTCAATAGATTGTTTTTCATAATTATTTAAATGAAATATTTGTCCATAACGGGTTGTTGACCATATGGAATTTTCATGTGCTAAATAAAGTAATGAATAAAACAATTGAGATTTAAGATTTTTTTCAATTGATAATAAATCAACCAATGAACATAATTCTTTATAAAGTATTAATTGTGTATTATCAATATTCAACTGTTGCTTATTATTATTATTATTAGCATCATGTTCATAAACCATTGTTGTTAATTGATTTGAATACGAACGTGTACTATCGGTAAAATATTCAAATAATTTATTATTAAATTTTAATTCTAATTCATCGTTTTCAATGATTTCATACAGATAAATAAGACATTTACATGATAATTCTTGATTGAATTGGTCTTGATCAAGTAAGCCATATATAAGATTTGTTTGTAAAGAAAATAATTTCGATTCAAACAATGAACGATACGTAGATACTAAATATGGTCGACGACAATGAATGAGAAATGTTAATAACCATAGAAATGCTGCTTGTCTACTATGAGAATTATTTATATCAGATGAATAATGAAGAATACGATCAATAAGATATTTTATCAAATTAGATCGAAAATCATCTTGATCGGATGATATTTTATCTTTAGATGAAGATTCTTGACTAAAAATATCATAAGGATCATTAACCAATGGTGTGTCAACACCAAGAATACAACAAATAAGAGCATCACCTAAAAGTAAAAGATAAGAATATGACTCTTTTGAAAGTATAGAATATTTTTACATAACTAAAAAACGTAGTGTTTGGACTGCTCGTGAAGAAAAATAAAAATCGATAAGAATACTTTTAGTAGACTTCGAATGCGTATGGCAAAGATATTCTCTAACTGTACTTCTATGTAGACACTTGAATCGACCTATATATTGCAATTTTTTTTCTCGATATAATTCATGTGATCCTTTAGTGGCTACAAGTATTAGCCATTAATAAGTGCATTCTACACATTTAAAGGTTTGTGAAGTGTGTGATAAATACTTTTTTGAAATGTAATACAAAATATGACAATGATGATATTGTTAAACATCTTTTTAGGAACAAACAGTATCCAACGGATCAATTGACTTGATGCTATTAGGTTATTACTAAAGATAAACTAGTTTTAAGACATGTTTAAACTGTGTGATGTAGTCGTCCTTAACCATATAAGAATCACTGAATTTTGACTTGTTCATTCGAATTATTGCATATAGATAGGCCTCAAATGAGAATATATTTTTATAAGTGTCTTAAAACTTTTCTTTATTTATATCGTTACAAACAACTATGGTGATTGTATGTATTTTACATAGCTGATATGAAACCAACAGATGCAGTGATCGTATTTCAGGATAGAAGAAAATCAAAAGACTTGCAACCTTCATATTAAACTGACCTCATCAAAGCCTATTTTTATGTGAAGTTTCAAGGAGAAATTCGAATTTTCTTTTAGTTACTATTTCTCAGATTAAGCTACAAAATTTATTTTAAAAAAAACTTTAAGAACTGAAGCATCGTTGTCAAAATCAATGAAGAGGACTAGGTATTTGCAAACTGTTCATTTTATTCTACATCATCATATACCTAGTATTGATTCAAAAACTATTGAACCTTAATAGTAACTTCTCAATATGACCTTACTGAAAATCGAATTGAAATTTCGCTATTAATTATTTGGATTTTTCCTTACCAATATTTAATTGAAGTTCAATTTGTTTTGTATCAACCAGTGATTGCGTTAATATATCAATAATTTGTTCACTTTGTTTTCTATAGCAAACAGCTAAAAATCCTAACGTTTGTATCGCTTTTTCTTTAATTCGATTTGTTTCATTAATTGTTTTGATTTTAATTTGAATTTTATCAATAAAATTTTTAATATTTGATTCATCATCTTGATTAAAACAATTCATTCGTGCTAGTTGCCCAATGGATACTAGCAATGATAAAGCATATTCATTTTGATTATCGAAAAATATATTTAGAAGAAGATTTTTTCCATTATTTAAATATTTATTCGATTGTTTTAAATATGAACAAGCATAACCAAAGGCAATTATACTTCCTTCACGTTGTTCAAAACGTTGATTTACATTTTGTATTATTTTAATTAATTCATCAATAGCTAATGAATTTGATTCAGTTTTTGATAAAACATATGCATAGAGTAATGATGAATAACGACGTGTATCATCACGTGTTGAAAACAGACATAATTGACGAAATGAACTAATGTTATCTTTAAAAAAATCAATTAATTTACTATCATTTAGATGATAACCAATAATAATTGCTTCAAATAAAAAATATGTTGATAAACAATCATGTACAACAAGAACAAAACCAAGTAAGAATTGTATATAGTTATACCAAATAGTTGTATTCTGTTTAGCCGTATCATGAACACATAGTAACTGTTCTTCATATTTCCACAATGGTGTTGTTTTTTCACCACTAAAACTCTGTCGAATTAAACAACGATGCAAATAATAAATCATTTCTTGATATGTCTGAGGATGATAAACTAAGGTTTGTCTACCCAGGGCAAAATCACCATGAGCATTTGCAAGAATTAATTTGAGTAATGATTGAAAATCTGGATAATCGATATCTTGTTCATTAAATAAATTTCGACGAGCTAATGAACGTATATCTTCATTTTTATCTGAACATGCAGTTAGAAGAATAAAACGTGATGTACAATCATTGGAAGGAAATACACTCATGACATATGATACTGCTGCTTGACGACATTGAGGATAATCAACAGATTCTGATGATGGACTAGGTATTACTTGTTGTGTTAATAATTGTTGAAGCATATGTTTACTGGCAACACTAGCATCTTTTTGAGAATATGCTAAGAGACTAAAAATTACAACAACAAAAACATATCCTTAGGATAATTTTATAGTTTCTTATCAACGGAATAGAAGTTGTAACTGTTGCAAATCTAACGTGTCCGTATTATTTTAGCTGACGTATATATATATAGTTCATCAGTAACATATGTTTTTGAGTTAACTCACTTGTTTTCAGTTCTAATTGAGGATTCGTTTAAAGCTATAGAATATCTAACAGTAAATTTTAGTTCCATTTAGAACAATTTCTTATCTTGTAGTCAACGTACGTGCACATCATAATTGCTCGAGTATCTTCTAGAAGAATCCTTTTAGTTCTCTTAACAGTGAATCTCGGCCACTTTTGGCTTTGATTCTTATGAAATCTTTTATGATGTATCCTCTTTAAAGAACAACGCCGATTTTATAAGACTTCTTTCTAGCAAAGCAAATGTAAAATAAATTTTTATGAATATTTTGTCTTTGTTTTCAATTGGAAGAAATACCTAATTTCATCATTTGTATATAAATGAGATACATGGACAATAGAACTTTTTACCAATATTTGAATCCATCGATATGTCAATCAAAATAAAAGTGGCGATCATATTGAACTAATAGTAATATGACATCTACTTTAACTTCCTAATCAGTTTTGAAGCTCGAAACTATGTATTTCATATTGTGTGTAATTAGATATGAATAATTTATACAGAATTCATACTATTAACTTATTGCTACAACGGTACGGTAATTAAAAAAAAAGACTTTTTCAATTTCAACTTAGATCTCTACACAAAATCAGACATTAATGTGAGAAAATTCTTTTTGAAAACTTCTGATTTACTTCGAGACTAAAAATAAGAATATCATATCTACCCGTGTGTATGAATGTAATGTAAATGTGATCGTATTTTTAAGATTGTCGTATATTGGAAAAAGAACAATGAGAAAATTTGTAAGTCTAACTAAAAAAATGTTTAATTACATAATTATGTTTGTCTGCAAAATTTGAAGGTTTAATAAATCCTCTATGATGCACATAGCTCAGACTTCGAAATAATCGATTCACCTTTTCAATGTCTGTGATCAATCTAATGAAAAAATTATAAGTTATGATTACGAATATGATCATAATTTGAAACAAAATCAAATTATTGGCTATTCTTATCAATAATATTATCGTTTTTTCACACTGATAACATTTTTATTTTTCTCCTAATCTTTCTTCAAATAGTATTATAAAATAACACACTGTAATGTCAGTTATATAAGTTTCTCAACAAATTAAAGATTATCCGTCGTTAAATATTTTTACTATACCAGTATGAGATTTATGACTACAGAGATTAATAAAATTAAAAAAGAAAGAATCTATCAATCAAAAAATTATATATTCAATATTCTTATAGTTAATAACGATTTTTATCTTATGCAGAAAATATTCTATATTGAGAACAATCATAAATTGTCAACATACTTTAGAGCTTCTTGAATATTTAAACAACATTCATTATCTTCTGTTTTCAATGCTTCAAAAAATTGTTGTGTTAATCTAATATCATCACAGAATAATTTCGGTACACGATATGAAAGTTTTCCAATTAAAACATATGTTAAACTTCTTAAACGAGATGCATCATGTGTTTTACTTATTTCTGTATTAAGAATCTTTTCCAATGCGTGCAATATCAATTTCGAAACACCAACAAGATTATTCAATTCAGCACTTAAAATAAAAAAAAGCAACTAAAATATTTCCCTAGTAAAATTAAAAATACTTTTGAATCGTATTTTGAATAAATTGCAGTGAAAAATATTTAATGCGAGCATTGGTCGAATTACCAAAAAGACTTTCATAGAGAATCTAAAATGAATTATTTTTCTTCTTCTTCATAGATACGCTGTTTTTCTCTAGTTTTACTTGAATTGCATGTGGGAAAATTGTACTAGCTATTCTTGATTTAAGTAAATATGGATAAAGCTTTATTCGTATTCGAGTATTTGCTGGATTCCGAATTGTTTCTTCATTCTAAAATATGTGAAGTTTTTTTTCGTTTATAGAATTTTCCATCTTAACTTTACTTGTGGTTTAATGGTTTTTAGTGTGCCTAAAAAGAATTCGAATAAACTTTGGACATGTTGCATTGAATTCCAATCAACAGCCACTGTCAAACGTTTTATATCATGTTCAGCAGCTAAGACAACGCTAAAATTAAAAATTCCTTTATTTTTTGTATTTCGTATATAATCAGCATACCTACGAGTATCTTGCATCTGCTGTTGCTAATACAAAATGAAATATAATGTCATTTTCCGAATAAATATTTCCATTGAGAAATTTCAATATTGAGACTTTAAGCTAAAACAGTAAACAGAAAATTTATCAAATATAATATAATAGATTTTTCTCGTTTACTTTTTCAACTTGATTTAAATCATCAGTTTGTATAGCTTCAGTTATTCGATTATTTAATTGTTCATTCATGCACGGAAACGGTTGTTTAAAAGTTTCTACTTCTTTGCTGGGTGCATCGTCCATGGTTGAAAAAAGAACTTCATCAACAGGTGCTTGAGAAGGTTCAACGTATGATCGTGGTTGAGTAGTTTTAGTTGTATTACGTGGCTTAGTTTCTTCAAATCTATAAATATAATAATAAGCATAATTTTTTCACGCTAATTTAAGCTTTCTAAATAAAAATCTTCGTTCATCAACAAAATCGTGACTTCTAAGTATACTTTTCTGATCATCACATCCTGGTATGGTTGAAGAAATTTCATAGTAGTTTATAGTTTTATTTAGAAAGAGTATGTCAAGCTATATAATTCTTTTCTTCTTCTAAACTTTGATACGCAAAACAATTTCGACCGACAGATTAGCATGTTTGTGAGAGTATTTCGAAATGTTACAGTTGTCATCCTTTTTTGTCAATATGAAATGTAACAGTCTAAAACGAAGTTCTCTATAACCTTTCATAGTTTACTCACTAAACCTAAGCTATTTTTACTCGAACAAGAAACTATTTTTTTAAAGAAAATAGGGAATTGCCAAATGAATAAACTTTCGCCCTTGATGGTTGAGTATCTTCTTCAAACATTATGAAATATGCCTAAAAACCTCGCACAATTAAAATTTACTCGACACAAGATCATTTATTGAGACTTTAGAAGTAAAATAAATATTGTTTAACGCACTTGTAAGGTAGAAGAATAACATTGAGAAGAAAATTGAGGAATAAATTTCGGATTATTGGTTTATCAGTAAGACCATATTTAACAAGATTTTCATTCATATTCGGAATAATTTTAACATATTGTAAAGCATAAACGATTAGGCCAATGAGCAATTCTTGATGAGAAGTCGACCGATTTGGTAACGATTGAAAAAGAAGTGGTATCAATTCAGTTTGACAATCAGATTTCAAACGCATAAAACCCATTTTAATATACATTATTGAAAAATTCTAAAAAAAGAATAGATCTATTGATATATTTTCTAGTAGATCAAATTACTTACAGAAGCAAACGGTGAACATTGTGTTGATGTTGTAAATATTTCTAAAAGACTCTTCACTGGTATCTGAAGTTCTGGTCGACTTTTTACTCGTTTATTTATATGTATAAAAACTTCGACTGCCTATAAAAAAAAGTATTCATCATAAAATGAATACCACAAAAAAATGAAGAATTTTTCATCGCAAGTAATTCTGATGCTTGATAAAAATAAAATCTACCATTCCAGAATCACATCAAGAAAAAATGTAACCAACTAAATCAAGTTTTATTAATGAAATTAGAAATTCCTGTTTGTTCAACAACAATAGAATGTGGTTTCATTCTTTAGTAATCCACTGTCTAGAAACTCTCGTACATAAGTATAAATATTCTGAAAAATGTGAATAAACATCAATTGTTTTACTTCGTAAATATCACTGAAACTGTTTAATTTTTGTTGAAAACATGTTAAACTCCAAATGAAATCTAGTCCTCATTCTATATCATCAAAGCATGTAAAAAAATATGAATTCATAATGAAAAATGTTTTTATTAAGAACATTTGGGAAGATCTAATAATTACCAACTTGAATCAAAATATATGACATATTTTGAATGAAACGATGCTATGCTATTTATTTTGTTTTAATTAATTATTAAACATTTAACATCTCTTTTTTTCTTACTTTTTTTCTAAAGTCATCTGTTTGTACTTCAACACTTCGAATAAATACTGGTAAAAATGTCTTAATCAATTCTTGAAATTGATAATCATCACCACAAGAAATCAATTGAATAAAATATCGATTCAACGAACCTATCAATTATATATTAATAAATATATGTGCCTAGAAAAGGAATTCTTACTCGTATCAAGTGGATAGATTACATCATCAGTCATATTCCCTGTATTAAAATTATTATTTTGTACTTATGAAAAGAAAAAAATAATATGACTCGATTTTTCATCGCGTGTCTATGATTCATATTCAGTATAAGAATCACCAATCAGTATCGAGCACCACTCTCCATGTATTTTTCTTCACAATAAAATATAATATATTATACTTTAATCGAAAAAATTTTAAAAAACACTTTAAACAAATTATTACGGTTAATTCATATTAATAATTTCTAATCTATTACTGATTGGTAATTGAATGAAAAAACACCAATAATGATAGTAATAAAAATGCAAACGTTTCAATGTTTTTTTATTATTCTTCTGGTTCTTTTCTTCTTCGTCTATTGTCAAATTTTTCTTATTTCAGACATGGCTCATCGTGAAAGTAGAGATCGTCGTACGTTATATTGTGGAAATTTACATGAAAATGTTACTGAAGAAATGTTATTTGAACTTTTTCTTCAAGTAAAAATATTTGAATTTGATTAATTTCACAAGAAGCATCATTTTAAAAACAATTTTTTTTTCTATTAGAGTGGTCCTTTAGAATCGGTAACAATGAAACGTGATGGCCGTCGTTCATTTGGTTTTATTACATTTAAACATGAAGAATCTGTTCCATATGCTGAAGCCATTATGGAAAATGTGTGTTTATTTAGTCGCCCATTGCGTTTAGCAGCTCGTTCATCGAATAAAGATTTTAATAGTAATCCAAATGAACCTTACACACCAGAAATGTATGTAAGTGATTCATCATTACATCGTACAACACCATGGCATTCACCTCAACAGCCGCCACCACCACCTCCACCACTACCGCCTCAGCAGCAACAACCATTGCCAATATCACTTTTTTCTAATAATGATATAAATTATCCACCCCAACCGCATTATTCGTATGATGATCGTACGTCAACACAACGATTTGACCGCCGAAAACAAGCTTCTTATCATCCATATAATAGAAACGAACAGGATTATCAAAATATGAAACAACGCAATGGAAATTATAATCAACAACGAAGAGGAGGAGGAGGTTATAATAATTATTATCGTTAGAAAGATAAATAAGATATTCGTATTCATGAATATCTCATATTATTTTGTATGTACATATATAGATTTATCTGTTTCTTTTTTCTTGTCTTGTGAAAAAAATTCTTTTTTTTTTGTCGAGCGATATGAACTGACACATCGATACGGAAAAAAAGAATGAGAGAGACAGACGATGATGGATGTGAAAGCACTAACATGAATATGAAGGAGAACATTAATCATTCATGGTTATTTAAAAAAAAACATTGCTTTATTTCGTTTTTTTTTAGATTTTTTTTATTGAAATATCATTCTCATTGATATTTATTGGATAGGGATGTATTCAATTACAATATTAGAAAAAAAGCATAAAACTTCACGTTTTCTTCCTTTTTGAACTGATAAGTTGCTGCTTTTGTATCGCCTCACGTGCGAACAAGTTTTGGTTACATTCTTCACTGAGTTATAGAGTAGTTTGCATATTCTCTTGATCAAATTTTTTTTAAAGTAGCTCAAATACTTACAATGATTTCTTCACTATCATCCAATAGCATCACGTGGAAACAATAGAATGGATAGCACCATCGTTCATACATACTTATTGGCTTACAGAAAACTATCTGTAAGAAAAAAAAAAAATATCGCCTTTTCTTCATCGTTTTAGTTTATTATGAATAAAAATTAAACAATTTTCTTTCATTTCTGTATTCACGTTATACTCGTTTTTGTTCAATATGTTTTCTTTTGATTTCAGATTAACATATGTTTAACTGGTCTACTAGTGATAGTTTTCAATGATCAACTTTATTTAATTGAAAGATTGATTGAAAGCAACTAACTTATTACAATATATATATATATATACATTGATAATTCTTTTGTATTCGTTTTTGAAATAACTATCAATTGAAGTAATAGTCATACATCTACAAAAAAAAGTATTTTTGTCATTTTATAATTTCAAAAATGATGATATTTCTTATATTTTGCTGATACAATACAATGTTGAGAACAAAAGCATCGATAGAATCAATTTGAATTTCGAATAATTATTGATTAGATCTTTTATTTTGAATATTTCTTATCAGAATGATATACACTGATGCATCAGTATGATGAAACAGATGCAAACATCATAGATCTTCGATTTATATTCAAAATACAAAATTTATCTTGAACCATTTCAGATCGTAATTTGTTTAACAAAAAATTATTTTCGCTGATATAAGCAAAGCCAGATTTAAATGCATTAGTGATAACAAAACATTTCATCGTAGCTTGAAACTAAATACTGGTATCTTTTTAATTTGCAATATTGTTGAAAGATGAAATAATTCCTGAAAAAGAAAATAAACCTACTGATTTAATATTCTACAAGCATATTACAAAATAGCAATTAATGGTATGCAGAGAAACTTTCGAACAATGTTACTCATACGATGGATCATTTCGATTGATTATAAATACGTTTCAATACCAAATTCGTAAAACAATTACTATATCAAACAGATTGAAACCCATTCTACTATTAACATATCTAAGAATTGGTTTAGTTAATTATATCAATGGAAAAGGAAAAGACTAAAAACAATGCAATAAATAATGAAACAAAATTTGAGGTCCAATTTTTGAAACGATGAAAAGAAGTTTTCAAGTTTGTAAATGAATTCAAGATTAGTAGCAAAATTTTGTATGATTGTTGAGAAGGAGATTCATACTAAGCTTTTTAACATTAAAGTAACATGTTTCGGTTTCATCAGCATTTATGTTTTTCTCAGATCTTATATGCAACTTGAAATAATGTATATGATACTAGTTTTCAAAAGATCTATTTTGTTAGATTGTTCTATACTAGTGATTATATTTTGCGTAAAAGTATCTAAGCATTCATATTATGTATCATCATGAGAAATAATCGTTATATTTAGTAGTATAAGAGATATTGAGGTTGAAGTTGAGGATCATCGACTGACTGTAGGTAGTAGATACTTGCATCAATGTCCACTGAAGTATCGGCGTACACAGCTATAACAAAAAGCATAGTGTGATATGGTTGAGATCTCAACCTTGTAGTGAGCATAATTGTTAATGGATCTTGTATCGTTTGTTTGAATGTTAAGTATTTCGATGAACATTTCATATTCCTAAACCGTGTTATTTTAGTTTTCGTGTTGTGTTCTATGTGATTTTAAGTTATGAACGATTCTCGTTATTACATACATATGTTACTTTTTTTGTCTCTGTAATACTTTGTGAAGTGATATTATGACTGTAATCTATATTCGTTGGTTCTTGTATCAATAAAAACAAGAAAAAGAATCATCCGAGTCGTTATCATTTACTCATATTCAGTATACGTAGAATATTTAGATAGGATATGACGACAATAAATTACAGCGAAACTATTAATATAGAACGAGAAAAAGCAAATTTAATTTGCTTAATCAGGTAAATTTGTTTACTGGTTTTGAATTTTATTTTAAAAAAATTATAATTTCTAATTCTTTAGGTTAACATTAAATGCACTGATTGATCAATCATTGTCAGCAGCTTCATTACCAGTTCTTGATGATCGTAATGCTGATGTAACGAATTTTATCGTAGTACTTGAACGTGTTCTTTGTTTTCGTATGCGAGGTATTGAGGAAAATGAAATTCTTTTCTACAGAAAAACAAAACATGTTTTTGGTCGTTAATAGCGAGTTGGTTATCAGATCGACGTTATTTTTGGGACTTTATTCGGCCGGCATGTATTGGTTCTTGTCGGCAATCTAGTAAGAAACATAGTCAAGTAAATTAAATTTATTTCTTTTTTATTTTTAGTCATTGAACGTGTAGAAGAAATATCAAATATTCATAGTGTTAAATATAAGGTATAATACAAATGGCTAATTTATTTTGTCGTCATCAAGAAGAAACAGAATGTCACTTTTGAGAGACTATCAGTAGGATTTGAAAAACAATAATAACTTATTAATTGAAAAAGTGTGAAGCATAAGGAATAAAATGATTGAGCTTCATGTAAAATTTTACTATTCAACTTGTATTGTTCATAGAGAATCCTTCAAAACAATCTATTAGGATGTTTTTTTGAAATAAAGTGGCAGTTTTGATATTCGAATAAAGTAATCATATAAAAACATACACCAACAATTTCAACAAAAATAGAACATATCTATCTTCGATTAGATTATAATGGTGCTTAATTTGAAGAAGCAATTCTTTTTTCATGAGCATTTGTAAGAACAAAATTTGCTCTTTCAGTTCACGTTCTATCGAACTGAACGACTTATTTTATATAAGTATAATTACTGAGTATTTTTCTAATCATAGAAAGCAAAAGAACTAGACCTTTAAAATGAATGCTAGATCATATATGAAGCTCATGACAGTATTTTCACCAAGAGGAGACTTTAAAACAAAATCCTCCGAGAAAGCTAGATTTTCATAGATTAAATCATGTTTCGTAGCGATACTATTTATTTTGTAATTATCACGAGCTTCTCAACATGAATCAGTATCATCGCTTCGAGGTCATTTTCAGTAAATTATTTTATTATTGTATTCTTACTTTCTTAAATCGCCAGCAAAGTAGAATCGAACTCAGCACCATTTGAGTTTTTAAAGTTATTCAACACACATGTGTTCAATAAGATATCATATCGTCCATTGACTCTTGTAATCTTTTTTTTCTACGTAAGGCAAACATATCAGCAGTTTTAATTTGTTGATTGTTCTTATTTTTCAGGGTCGAACATGGATTAAATTTGCATTAATGGAGAAGAAACTTTCTGAACTTTTAAAACTTGTTATTTCTGATTGTAATCTTGTACGGTATGTTAGAAAAGTCATCATAAATTTTTAGAAGTTCAATTCTTTTTCATAGGAAATTCTACCATGATGATTCAATAATGATATCCTCTCAAGCATTTATTTTGTGTGATCAACTAGCTGGCTTGAATACTATTGATTTCAGGTATTGATATCAATTATTTTTCATTCTGCAGTGATTTTGAAATGAATTCTTTTTTTTATTACAGTTTTTGTTTCAAACAAGATAATCCTATAGTTGCTCCATTGTTATCAAACGACACTGAAATAGATATAATCGATATAACGCCATTTTTATGCTTTAAAACAAAACAGTAAGACCTTTTCTTTTCTTTTTTGGAAATAAAAAAAGTCATTTAATCGAAATTTTTAAAAGAATTAAACAATTGAGAGTAAATCAAAATAGTAATGAAGAAAATAAAGAATTATCATCAACTGCGATTGCTACTAACGAGCCTAATTCAAAGGAACGTACAATGATACCATTGGAAAAATATAAATTAGAAGTTGAGCAACGAGTAAGAGTTGATTGAAAAACAAAATTCTGGTCAATAAGAACACTTCTTGATTGTTTTGTGTTTGTTAGAAATATTTCGAAGAACTTTTACAGCACAGGGATCGTGAATTACAACAAATTAAAATTCGTTATGAAACATTAAAAGGTGAACGTGAAAGTGAAATTGTACAAATGGAAAATATTATACTTGAACTGCAACTTGAATTGTTCGTATAAAATAAAACCTATTTATTTATATTTTTGTTTTTGTTTATAAATAGACGCGCAGCTCGAGACGAAGCTGATATTAGACACAGACGATCTCAACAGCTAAGTTCAGGAACGCCACCTAAAAATTCTTCTTCTTTTGATGATCGAAAAGTAAACCCATCGTCATCAACATTGAATAATGATCATTCTGAAAATCTTGATACGTAAGTTTTTCAATTCAAAAACAAAAGATATATCGTGGCTTCAATCGTCGTATAATCAATACTGATGATGCCATTGTTATATCTTATGTCAGAGAGAATATCTTGTTTAACAAAAAGAATTACAAGAAAATTCCCAAAATCATTTACAAGTACAATACGAATACGGCGGAAGTGTTATAACTTCATTAATAATATCGTTTTGATGAATTTCCAATATTCAATTTCTAATTGAAAATCTTGAAAAATAACTATCATTGAGTTAAGATATAGAGTTATGAATTTCATATTTCTTTTTGCATTTTTATCATAAAAATGGATGTTTTAGTAGTCGTTGCAGATGCACTTGTTAGACTTAAACATAAATATTAGATACAGTTTGCGTTAGCAATACTTTTTTTAAAATAATTCATCGTAAAGATATATGAAGGCCTAATCACCTAATTTCATTTTATTTGACGAATCATGGTTGAACTGTAAAAGGAATCAAATTAATCGGTTGTCCAAAAACAGCGATTGTGACTATTCTTTTAATTGTAGGCAAATGAATTCGATTGATAGTTCATTGACGATTGCTGATAATCAAGTAAGTTTTAAATACATTTATAATATATGTGCTTTTTCTATTGATTGATATCCTAGAATTTAAATTTTACAGTAAAAGATACTAGTCAAGAACAACCCGACGATATTATCTATCCATCATATATTGACTCAACTCATTCATCAACAACCACCAGTACAGATGATGATACCGAAGAATCTACTTCTAAAATATCCTCGAATACTAATAATGATAGTAATCAAACACATAATCAAATCCAAATAGTATCCAGTGCAGAAATACTTGCATCAACAACATCTATTTCAATACCATCATCATCATCATCTGAAGATGAAGATAAACCACAAGTGCAAACCGTAACAACAACTGCTACCGACGAAAATAGATAAATTACGAGTGAATCATTTTGATTTCAATTTGATGCAAAAAGTTGAATAAATTCAGTTAAAGATCAAAAGATGATACTACAACTAAATTTTTTTATTGTTCTGTTTATTTATAAGTATTAATATAAATCATTTTCTTGAAAATATTTGTTTACATGTATATATATATATATATATATATATACTTATATATTTAATTTTATTTGATTTTTTTTTGTATTTGTTTATGTATAGAATGTCTTGATGCGAATGGAATGCAAATCATTTTCTGTTTTTATTTTATTTTATGAATCTATCTTAATTAAATATATGATGCATATATATATATATATATATATATCCGCTTATTTCCCATGGTTGAATTGAAGAGAAAATTCAGATTCGCTGATTCAAAGTGTTATATTATTAGGATGATGTTTAAAAGTCACGGCTGCATATCTCGGTAAGATTCATCTTCACTTTGAAGAAATTTTTGGTGATGATAAAGTTCATGAATTCACAGAGAAAACTTTTACCACCTAATGATACAAATAAATATGAAGAACATCAGCTCTGAGAGAGAGAGATCTGCATGAAGTTACATGTTTATCATATCTGCTGGCTTTTTGTGTACTCAAAAAAAAAAAAGAAGAGTACACTATAGAATCGGTCAGTGTGTCCAGCCGTCCGTCCGTTTATTCGATAACTCTTCACAATTACATTTGATTGAACTGAAATTTTGTGCACAAAATTTTTTCTCATCAATATCTCGGTCGAGTTCGAAGATGAGAAGGATCCATCAAGAAATGGCTACGTTATCGAAAAAATTGTCATTTCTGACCAGAGCATCCCTGAGGAGGGGGTACAGGGATTTTCTTCAAAAGACTTTTTTTTCTCAGAATTATTCACAACATGTATAAATCGACTCACTGATTCCGAATCTGATATTAGTTTCGAACGAAATCGTAGCTTTCTAACAATACATCGCTTGAAAATGCACAAGAACTACATCTAGAAACCAAATTGCCTAATTTCTCATGGTAATTCTGGTGTTCAGACATTCTAGAATGGCTCATTGGTCCCATGCACTTTTTGCAGTACACATAACTCTTGAATGAAATCCGAAGTTTCCACATTTATTAATTAAATATTCCTTTTGTAATTACTAGATTTAATTTTTATAAATTCTAATTAAAATTAATATTTTTTACTAGACTTCAAGATAGAATCATCAAAACAAATTCTAAATAAGGTATAAAAAATTATCATAAGTATTCAATATTAAAATACCTTTCCATATGTACTTATTGGCGATGAAAAAATATTCATTTGATCATCCATACATAAATCGGAATGTAATGGAATAACAATATAATTAAATCTTTTACACTCATCAAGATCATCTAAATTAAATTTTGCTGAATCGGGTTTTCCACGTGGAAAACGAAGAGCTTTATGAACGTTTTGAATTTCAAGTAAACCCGGAAGAAAAACAAAAACCGTTGCACGTTTAATAGGTAAATGTTTTGTATGATCCCATCCAGCTATACTATCTTCATCATCAAAACTTTTTATTAATTTAACAGCAAGATCAATTGATTCACCAGATACACGTGGTTCACTTAATTTTAAATCTGGTAACTAAAAAAAGAGATTTCTTTTCTTCTATAATTAAATTTAAACTTACAAGACCATAATTTTGAATATGTTCTAAATACATTTCTTGAACATCAAAAAGTCGATCACCAACATGAAATTAATATGCTGGAACAATTCGTCCGTTAATAACTTGACGAAAATAATTAGTTAATTTATCAATTTCAATTGTTGCTGACATTAAAATAATTTTAACATTTTGAGAATTTCGAAGCCATAACATACGAACTAATATTAAAAGAAAATCCATTGATTGATCACGTTCGTGAACCTTAAATAGAAAGAAAATGAAAATATTCATGATTTTGTTTATTTATTTTTACTTACTTCATCAAGAATAATATGTGTAAAATCTTGTAAATTTTTTGTTAAAATTAATTTTTGTAACAGAATACCGGTAATACAATATAGAATTCTTGTTAATTCACAACGTTGTTTATTTAAACTTGTTTGATAACCAACTGTTTGTCCAACAGTCCAATTACGTGAATGTGATACATGTTCACAAAGTGAACGAGCAGCAATATGTCGAGGTTGTGTTACAACTATATTAACTGGTTTTGAACGTTCAACATAATCATCTAATATATATTGAGGTATTTGAGTTGATTTTCCTGATCCAGTATTTCCTTGAATAACTGTTATAGAATTTGTTTCAATTGTTGATAAAATTTTATCTTTTTGTGAATAAACAGGTAATGTTGTATCTTGATTGATCCATTGTTTTAAATCTTCATAATCATCAAATGTTTCTAATGCATGTGATATACCAAATACATGACGAATTTCTTCTTTATCAGCTTCACTTGGAACATCATCAAGATCTGTTTGATCTTCAATATTAGATAAACGTTCTCGATTTATATTTAATCATACGAGATGATTATTTATTGAAGAAGCTACTGTTGTATTTCCAAATCGTTGACTTGTTAAACTACATATCGTCGTTTTATCATCCTTATCTCTCAATATACCTTTACTACAATGCTATACAAAGAAATAGAAACTTATTTAAAAAAAACATTATACTAATTTTATTGCTTTATTTCATTTAATCAACAAAAATCAATGAAATTTTTATTTTTAGAAATGTGATACATTCCAATTTCATTTATGAAAACTATCGTAAATTCGAAAAGAGATTCGTATGTATGAGCTTATCTACTCCATTTCTATTGATAAAATCGAATAAAACAAAAAAACTAATAGAAAATATCTGCTGCTTTACTTGTAAAAATTCATTATCAAATTTTCGTTGAAAATCCCGAGCATAAGCTTTTTGACCAATTGCTAACAATTTTTTTCTAAAGAAAAAAAAACAATTAAACTTTTTTGACTATGAATGAAAACAGGACTGACTTTTCATGAAATGCTGCATATGGAACAATGTCGAGTTTATTTTTATTTAATTGTTGAACTTCTTTTTGTTGTTGTTCAAATGATGTTGGGCGAAGATATTGAACTATTTTAGGTTCACTAATATTTGATGTTGAGTTAGCAGTAGAGTTTGTTGAAGAACTGGATCGAGCTGAACCAAAACGAAAATAATTTTCAATATCTTGAGCAGTCAAAGATTCATTAGTAGAATATAAAGAATTTCCAGGATCAAAATTTGGAACAGTTGACTTTTGTTTCGTTGATATCGCCATATAGAATCAGGCAACTCAGTTTCTGATAAAAAGCATGCATGTACAGAATGAGAACACTATAAATAACAAAGGCAGAACAGAAAAAAAATTATTGGATAATAAAATAATATCGCAGAACGAATACATCAATTATGTAGTGAGAGCGTCCTTTTTGAGTATTCTTATTCGTTCAGCAACATTATTTTATTTTCCAGTAATTTATTTTCTGCTCTGTCTTTGCTATTTAAATAGATAATGTTCTCATTTTGTACATGTACCACGCAACTATAGTAGCTCATAAAAAGATAATTATCAAATTTCTATGAATCAAAAATAACTGACATTTGAAATTCATCGTATTTCAAAGTCGCCTGAAACTCATATAGCATTTAATTGTTTTTGATTTTCTTTATTGGATATAGAAAAAGAATATTGCTTGGTGGTAGCCTTGATAAAATGTGCCATTGATGCTAAATGACCTCTTCACAGTCACACAGATTATTCAATTGATATTAAAGAAAAACTGTACAATAAGACTTTCAATTTGCATTGGTTTCTGGTTCATGTCTCCAACGAAGCACTTCAACTCATATCTTTGCCAAACTATTCAAACGATTGATTCTAACTAAATGGGATTTCAGTATAGAGATGACGCATGAAAAAAGACGTCTTCTGTTTCTCTTTCTTTGTTTCTGTCAGTCGTGCTTATTTAATGGTCATCCCTGTTTTGTTCATATCGTTATCATGGTCAAGTGCATTTTGATTGGCATAATAAATGCTCACTTACAACGAGCGTTCCATCTTTCTTTCTTT